CCGGGTGTGCCGAGGGTGGGCGGTGGGTCCCTGAGCCACGGTGGGGACACGGTGGGGACACGGTGTCTGTCACCAGCGAGCACAGCAGCAGCGCCCGAGGGTTGGTGTGGAAAGGGAAGCCGTGTCCTCAGCAAAGAACGGGCGAGTTTTACAGCTCTGCTGCCGCTGGAGCTGGCGAGGAGTGGGGACTCCAGCCGAGGTGGCTGGGGACAGGGACAGCCCCGCTCTGCAGCCCAGGGACGATTCTCCAGGCGTTTCACCTCCTGGTAAAACAGGCTGTSGCTTTCAGCCAGGGATTTCCTTCCACTCCTCTCCTCCAGCCCCCGCTTGCCTCTCTGCAAACCTCCCCCTCGGTGCCTTTCTGCAGGTGGGGTGGGGAAGTTCGGTGCCTGATGTTTTTGGGGTTTGAGGCTGTGGTCGTGCCAGAGGTGCAGCCCCCRCGGTGAGCTCTGTGGGGTGAGGTGATAAAGGATAAAGAAAAGCTGTGTGCAGGGGGCTGACAAACAGCCCTGGATAAGGTGCTCTCGGCACTGGTGGTCACAGCAGCACCAGCCCCGCTCCTGCCTGGAGATTTTGAGGTTGCTGCCTTGGAAAGAGAGAGGTAAGGAGTGGGACATGTCTGGTTCATAGGGGGAGAGGCAGATAAGGCACAGCACGTGGACATGGGTGTGTGGGAATGGAGAAGAGCCAGGCCYGGGGCAGATAAGAGCCTGCTCGGACAAGGGCACAGATCTCCAAGGGCTCTGCACAAGGRAGAACTTGGTGCTGGGAACTGATTGCTGGGTCCTGTCCCAGCTCTGTCACTGTGGATGTGGCCAGGTCACTTCATCTGCAGGTTGTGTCCTCCCTGAAGTGAGGTGGGATCGTGGTGGACGCATTTAAAGGCGGAGGCAGCGCTCGGAGGGGTGACAGTGAGAGCTGCTGGGTTATCCCTGAGCCGCCGCTGCCCACGCTCCTCCCTGACCTGGGCACACACCAGATGCCTCCAGGCTGCAGCTCCTGAGCTGGATCTGCTGTGCCAGACCCGCCAGGCTCCATCCATCGCTGGGTCCTGCCTGCGGGTCCCTGCCACCCCTCCGAGGGCTGGACAAGCCGGAGTGAGCAGCCCTTGAGCCTGACAGCTCCATCCTGCACCGGGGCAGGACTGCAGGAGGCTGAGCCTGGAGGAGAGGAAGGGAGCCAAAGGCAGGTCAGTGCCCTGGGGCCACCAGCTGKGAGAGAAGCTGGTCTGACAGAGGGGGACAGGGTTTGGCCCTTGGGGGTGTTGTGAGTGTCTTTGGTGTGGTTTGGTTTGGTTTGTTGGGCAAAGTTCCCTTAGAAGGGGACGTTTCCCCCATGTTTGGGTGACCGTGGAATTGCTGAGGGATGTGCTATGACTTGGCCAGCACAGAAATGCCTGCTGTGGTGTTTGGTGACCCATGGGGCACTGTCCCAGGGCAGATGTGATGGGCTTTGGTGGGCTCAGTGGTGTTGTGGGAACAGCTGCATCCCAAGCTGCTGTGGGACAGCAGGAAGCTGTGGGAGAAGCCGCCAGCRGAGCGTTGGGTTGAGGGGATCTCTGGCTGCAGGTGCTGGTGTGGAGGGGGCCACAGCCAGGGCTGACAGGGGATCTGGGCTGCTCAGGTGCCAAAGAGAGACTGGGACAGGGTGCTGATCCCAGGATGGGCATCCCAAACCCCCAGGATGGGGTTTGGCAGTGGAATGTGTCACAGAAAGGTTCTCAGCACAGTCCCGGGTGGGCAGCAGCTCCATGGTGAAAGGAAGCCCTGCAGGGATTTGTGGGTTGTGGCTCSAGCTGTTGGGAGCTGGGGAATGGTTCAATTCTTGCACTGAGGCTTTCTGCCTTTGTCAGTGGCTTTCCCAAATCCCAGGGAAAATGGCCAAGGGGGTTGAGGTGCAGGAGTAGTTTTTTACTTTGTTTTGCCTCGCCTGGGATCGCTTCAGCCTTGACCTCAGCCGCACATCTGGGGTGAGGGATTTACCCAGGAGATGCTGTTCCGTGTGCAGGACCTCAGGGCAGAGCTGGGCAGCCCAGGAGCTTCTCAGCCAAAAACTGTGACAGGTTTTATTTGGTGTAAGAGTTTATTGGAGGGGAAAATGGGTGGGTTTGTCCTCCTCCACGGGGAGTAGTGACCACAGCCTGGGGCTCGGGGCTGCTGAGGAGCTGGTGGTCCTAACCTGCAGGGACAGGGGACAGTGGCAGAGCAGGCTCCTGTCACTCTGCAGCTGCTCTCTGCTGCCTTGCCAACACCTCAGCTGTGGTTTTACACATCCTGAATCCACCCAGGCAGGTTAAACAGCCCGTTCCTCCACCAACGAGGGAATGCGTGCAAAAGCTTGGATGCTTTCCAGTGGCCTGTGTGAGGAGRGAGAGTCCTTGTGGCCACTCTCAGAAAATGTGAACAAAGCTCTGACCCCCATGAATGGGATGGTGCCCTCCCTGTTGTGCCTGCAGTCCGGGAGCAGGAGCAGAGGCTGCTCCCTGTCCTTGTCCCTGTGTGGGCAGAGGTGGGAGTGTGTCTGTGCCTGTGCCAAGGGCAAGCAGCCAGATCTGCCCCAGGGTGATGTCTGCAGTGCCAGCAGCCCCCGGGTCCCTCTGCCCCGTGCAGATGGGGTCGGTTTTACTCTTTGTGACGGTGTCTGGCTGCCACGGGAAGGTGACAGCTGGCAGAATTTGGGCATTTGCAGTGCTGGAGGCGGCGGACGGGATGAGGCCAGGCAGGGACACCAGCCACGAGGTGGGAAGTGCTGGAAAGCAGAGCTGGAGCCGTTTGGGATCGGTTGTGWGCCTGTGCTGTGCAGGGCTGATGCCCTGGCTCTGGGGAAGCCTCCTGACCCCGGCTGTGCCAAGCCCCGGGCACAGATGGCGAGCCCCAGGGTGGGATCACCTCCATCTGCCCTCAGCCTTGGGGCTGGGAGCAGYCTGGCAGGGAAGGAGCCRAGCACTCYGTGCCCTGTCACATTGGGGCATTTTAATTAGAGAGGTTCAGGCCTGGGGCAGGGTTTGGCTGGAGGGAGCTTGGTGCCCGCAGGTGTTGCCCTGGGGCTGCCCATGAACCATCCCGGGCTAACACAGCCCTAACATGGCCCACGGGCACCAATCTCCTGCCCCTTGGGTGCCCCTGGATCTACCCAGGCTCACAGCCAGCCCCGTCACACACCTCCATGCTCTGGCTGCCCTTCTACTGATTCAGAGCACCCTTTCCTCTCCCAGCACGTTGGGAGCAGGATCCCAACACCCCAAATTGCAGGGTCTGTGCAGGATGKGCCCCAGGGGGATCTGCTCTCTGTGGAGGGGCAGCTCTGAGCTGGAGGCTCTGGCCAGGCACTGCCAGGCTGCTCCTGCCAGCTGGAACTGCTCCCGTGGATCCAGGACTGCTCTGATTTACTCCATGCACTCGTGGAAAAGCGGGAGGGAGGTTTGGTGTGAATGAGCCGGTTTCCTGCTCTACCCTGAAATTTGGGTCACACAACCCAACATAGCAGAGCTGTGAGAGATGCAGTTCACCCTCAGTTCAAGCCCAAGCCAGCTTTGATTTCCGAGGTGGCTCAGAGGGTCTGTTGGAGCTGTGGCCCCATTAGTGGATGAGCACGTGGCAGGAGGTGAGAGGGGTTTTTCCCCTCCCTGATCAGCTCCCACATTGCCAATGTTCYTCTCTGGCCTGCTGCTAATTTTGACGCTGCCCTAAATAGAAGCTGAGTGCATCTCATCTGCTTCGTTTAGCATACAGGAAAATTGTTTTCCTTCGTTTACCCAATCCAACTTGTGGCTTTAACCCTATCAGCACAAGTCTCTCCCCATTGCAGAGCTCCCATGAAGGGCTTTGCCTGTCCCTGCCACAGGGAAGAGCTTTGATGGGAATGGCACTGTGTGTGGTAGGATTGGGAGGGCTCCCAGACTGCCCAGAGTGGCCACCAGCAGAGCTGGGAGAGGGATTTTGCTTCATCAGCAGCCACGGGAATCCCTTTTCCTGCTGGAAAGTCTGGCAGGCTCTCCCTGTGCCCTCTCCATCCCCTGGTGGGATGTGCAGCCCCAGAAAGGACCCAGTGCCCCTTCCCGGACCACCCTTCCCCAACTCTGCAACAAAACAGCTCAGCAAAGACAGACCCAGTTGTCGGGGGTTTTGGTTGCTTTCTGTTGTGATATTTTTCCCAGCAACTGGTGGRACCAGCTTGGCACGCAGGGAATATCCCCAAGCCTGGCAGATGCCCYTCTAATCACTGGCTATTTTTATCTCCCGTTCCAAGTGACTCTTTGGAAGGATCTGTTGTTCCTGGTGCTCTGTCTGCTCCAGATCAGGACACACAGCCCCTCTCCCTGCTGGAGAGGCTGCCTCCAACGCAAGGCTCCTGCAGCACAACTTAAATATATCCCTGTCCAGTGCAAGGTGCTCATTTGGGGCTCTGGTGCSAGAGCTGTTGTCCTGAAAAACTGTAATTTTGTGGCATTTTCAGCTGTGTAACTGTTACAAGTGCTGTGCTGAGGACACAGGCGCACGGAAGGGATGCGTTGGGTTGCAAAGGGCAGTGGAAAAGTTGGATTTAACTGGTGGAAAGGCAAACCCTGAGCTTGGGCTGAGCYTTGGGCACACGGCAGCACTTCAGTGGCTGTGTGGCTCCCCTCATCCCGCTCTGAGCCCGGCCCTTTCCAGCCCAGAAGCCCACCTTGGAGCCAGGGTGAATGCTGTCCCCTTTCCTCCCCCGTTTCCATTTCAGCCTCCAGGTTCCTCTGGAAGCTCTGCAGTGACAGCAGCTGCTCTGCATGCGGCTCATCCATGCACCAGGCTTGGKTTTGGGCTGTGGCAGTGCCCAGAGCCTCTGAGATCAGGGGCACCAAGGAACAGAGACCCCAGCAGGCTCCAGGCCAGGGGCACAGCCAGGAACCAGCCCCTGACCAGACCAGGAGAAGCCACGACCATTCCCGAGGCTGTGTCGGACAGAGCGATTGAACTCGGGGGACTTGTTCACGGTGTTCTGACTCTCTTCTCTCTTTTTTCCAGAAAATCAACCGGACCCCTTCGGACGAGGAATGCTTCTTTGACCTGTTGAGCAAGTTCCAGAGCAACCGGATGGACGATCAGCGCTGCCCGTTGGAGGAGTGCCCAGCGGAGGCTGCGGAGGCGGCTGCCACGCGGGTCCCTGCCCTGGGAGAGCGGATCTGTGAGCACCGCCGCGTTTTCGAGCCCCCATTCCTGTGGGAGTGACGCTGCTCCCGCGGCGTGCCCAGCTGTTGTGGTTTGCAGTGCATCCCGTGATGTTTTCCTCTGAACTTAGCAGTTCCTTGGCAATCTCCGTCATTATTTGAGGAAGGAGAAAAAATTCTTATGTAAATGGTTGCCGAGGGAAAGGCCGGGGAATGTGAGCTAAGGTTTGGGGAGTAAATTAGCGGGAGAAATGCAAAATACACTTGGATATTTTCAGTGCGGGTCTTTAGGTCTTGGATTCTGAACAGGGAGGTTGGGACAAGGATTTGTGCCACTTCAGTACCTYCAGGAGAAAGGTGATGATGGTCATTGCTGAGGGAGCTCTGTAAGAGCCTGGGGTGTGGGACATGCAGGAGCTGGGTCAGGTTTTCTCAGGCAAGTTAAAATATAGCCAGTTTTTGTAATAGCGTTGCCATGGAGGAAAAACTTCTGGATTTTGTACTGTTGTTGGATGCTGTGGTGATAGGTGCTGTGTGAGGACAGAGGAGCCAGAAGGATGGATAAACAGTGGGAAGCTGCACAGGCAAATAGCTCAGCCCTGGGAGGGACAGGGATAAATCGAGGAAGGCGCCTGACAAATAGGCAGGGCAGGAAAGGCAGGGCTGTGTTTGCACTTGGGTTTCGTGGCTTTTTCAGTGTTCAGAGCCTTTGTTTAACCCAAGCCGGGGAGAAGCTCTAAAATGCACAGATCACCCTCACATGCTTAACCACCAGCACAAAGGGCTCAAACCAGTAATTTAAACCGATGGATTTGTTCATCATCAGTTTCCAAACGAATACAAAGTGCAGATGGGAGAGGAGGAGACCCCTGACACCRCTCCTGGAGCCGCAGCAGCAGGAGCAGGTGCCGGGGCAGGGGCTGAAGCAGAGAGGGTCAGGCTGTGGCAGGAAGGCAGGTTGGCTGCGAGGTGAGAGGGTTTTTGTCRTCTAAAAATAAGGTGGAAATGAGCATTGCTTTGTCAAGTGATGCCTTTCTGACACACAAGTGCATTTGGCTGTAACAGCTGTAATTTAGGAGACGGGGTTGAAAACGTGGAGCTTTATAAAGAATGCACGAGCAGCCCCACGTTCTGTTCGGCTCATTTGGGCTCTGAGCCTTTTGGACGTGTTATTTTCAAGGATTCTTTGTGAGCTGAAGGGGAGGAAACTCATCTCTGCGTCAGCACTGAGATTTTCTTGTGTTTCTGCAGCTCCATGAGCTGGGGCTCTAAGAACTTGTCGTGTCAGGAGGCTCGGAGCAGAATGTGCTCCAGGGAAAGTAACACCACTTGGGCTGGATTTTAGTTTTCCTTTGCTTGTCCCCATCCGAGTGCAGTGTCTGGGAGCATTTCTTTATCCAGCAGCTGCAGGAGCCAGCAGGCTCTGTCCAGGGAGCGCTGCCCGGAGGTATTTCCAAAGGTTCAGTGGTAGATAGAGGGCAGGTACTGATTCTGGACTGGGATTCCAGCACAGCCCAGGCTGACTCTGCTCTGTGGGGTGARAAGAAGCAGAGCCCAGGAGTGTTTTGCTGGTGCTGACGCAGGTCCTGCAGCCGTGACAGCCTCTCCTTGAGCAAACAGCCTGAAATTCCGGGGGGCCTGGGCAGGTGCTGCCAGGTTCGGGGCTTTGCTGGTGGCCTGTCTGGAATTATTTCTGGCAGTTTGGACCATGCAGGTGCCTCTCACAGCCACAGGAGCCCTCGGGAACTCTGTGCTCACCTGCAACTGCCGGGCTCTGCCTGCACCTCTTGGCTCCGGGTGGAAACCAGAGTGGAAGCAGCAGTGGCAGCTCTCTGTAGGGCTGGAAGCAGCAGGGATTGCACCCAGGCAGAGGGTGCAACTCAGGGCACAGCATCTCCTGGCCTGAGGTGGCACTTTTGGTGGCCTCCAGGAGCTGGTCCCCATGGTCTCCCCCATCCTGCCTGCAGGGTTTGTGTGGGTTGGAGTTTGGGGAGGGGGATTTGGGCTCTGCAGCTCAGGCAGGGCAGGCAGAGCTGTGACCCTGCCGTGTTTCTCTCCCCTCAGCACAGTCCACCTTGATGGCATCTCCACAGACAGAGGAGTTCTTTGACCTCATYGCCAGCTCCCAGAGCAGGCGCCTGGATGACCAACGTGCCAACGTGGGCAACCTGCCCGGCCTGCGGATAACCCACAACAACCTGGGCCACCTGCGTGTGGAGGGGGATGCCCAGGAGCCYGGGGATGAGTTCTTCAACATGCTCATGAAGTGTCAGGTAGGGGCACAGGGCTGGAGGAGCTCTGGCACCTCAGCTCCAGCCTTTTCTCCGTGGCAGGGCTGTCCTGGCCCTGCCCTGCCCTGTGCTAACACCACTCTCTCCCCTGCAGTCCTCCAGGATCGATGACCAGCGCTGTGCCCCCCCAGACTCTGTCCCCCGTGGCCCCACCATGCCTGATGAAGACTTTTTCAGCCTCATCCAGCGTGTCCAGGCCAAACGCATGGACGAGCAGCGCGTGGATTTGGCCTCAACCCAGGAGGAGGCCGAGGAGGAGCAGCAGAGGCCTGGTTCCAGCTAAGAACTGGGCTTTGGTCTGGGGTTAGGGTTGTTTCAGCTTTATTTTGTTTTTTTAAAAAGGAAAAAGAGTAGGTGGGTTCAAGCCYGAGTGCTCCTGTGCTCCCACAGTCTTGTCCCGGGAGCTGCACCTCCATCGTGTTCCTATGGGAAAGCCCAATGGATGGGAGTTTTTAAACAAGGGTTTTTTTAGGACTCTCTTTTAGGACTCTCAGCCACTCTCACTGGGCACAGCCAAAGGGAAGACTTTAGCAGCACTTTAGTTGATCACCTAAAACCCCAGGAACTTGGAGGAGCCCACAGGGGGTAGTTAATTCCAGCCTTGATATCTTTTACTTCCACAACACTTTTAATTAAACAGGGAAAGGGAAGAACACCTTTTCCATTTTTAAGTCTTTCTGTCTTCCCTGACACAAATGGCTCTGGATCCTTCCCTGGAACATWTTGTTCAGCTTTGTTCCTTCTACAGAGAAAAAGAGCCCAAGTCCTTTAAACCTTACCCTACGCCAGCTGCATCGTGGTCCCRCACACCTGAGTGTATTTTAGGTTTGCTGAGGACTCTCTGAAGAGCCTTGGACATGCTCTGCTTCCAGCTGCAGCTCTGCAGGACCTCCTGAGCAGGAGCAAAGCCTAAAATTCATCCTGAGCTTTAGTAGGATTTGTTACCGCTGGAGCCAGKGAGCTCTGCAGCCACAACTGCAGCCCCAGGGCAGGGGCTGTGCCTGGACAGGGGGAAGGAGGCCTCTGCCCAACGTTTCAGCCCAGGGCAAACAGGGACAGCTCCTGGTGCCACTGAGCCAAGGTGAGGGTGTCCAGACAGAACCTGTGTGTGACAGGACYCTGCTTCAACAGCCAGCAAAGCTTTCTGCCTATGGCTCGTCCTTCCTCCCTTCYGTGTCCAACAGCAGCTCTGGACAATGGCCCTTCCCTGCTCTGATTCCTCCCCAAAGCAGCCCTGAGCTGCTCCCAGGGAGGCACTCTGGTTCTGCCCACCTGTCTCCAGTCACTGGAGCCTCAGGAAAGCTCCAGTCACTGGAGCCTCAGGAAAGCTCCAGCCTGGGGAGCTGAAGTCAGTCCCACACATATTTACTGTCATTCCTTCCCCTTTTGGACCAGCTGGAAAAGCTGGAGGAGGGAAGCAGTATCCTGCCTTGAGGAGGTGCAGTATTTTTCCTTTGCTTRACCACAGACTATGCTGGACTTCAGAAACTCCAAGGCTGAGTTGTGCCGAAGCAGCACCGTTCCTGCAGAGAATAAATCAGCACTTTCTCTTTCAAATGCATTTGATGGAAACATTCCCAACCAGCAGGGAGATCTTTTTAGACCAGTGATGCTGCTCATGGGGCATTTACCCTGCCTGCACTGACCATGTGGAGCGGTAGCTGCAGTTTACCTGCTACCTGGGAGCACTCACCTGCTGCTTGGCTGAGGCTGAGCCTCCCTCATGGGGCTGGGCAGAGCTCTGGAGAGGGCAGAGGAGGACTTGCCCACTCCCCACCTACCAGCCAAGCTGGCATTTGTAAAGGAGGAAAACATTGATGATGAAGATGACCTGACCAGCTGCAGGCGCAGGCCTGTGCAGCTCTCAGCCAGGTGCTGAACTGGAATCTGACCATTAAGCTTTCAGAGGTATTATTGAGGTATTATTTGCCATATACTTGAATGTATGAGCTTATTTATTTTTTACATGTGCATTTGCTAATGTCATTTTAATGGGGAATTTCCAACCCACAGGTACTTGGTTTTTTTCTAAAAAATAATCTGCCAAATGGATTAATATATTAGAAATGAATACAGCTCAAGGGGAAGGGGTGGGGGGGTTGTGCTTAATAAATATTTGTGTCTAAGCTTCAGTGCAAATACTCATTTCCATTATTTCCTGGCCAACAGCAGGGCTAATCCTGGCCCTTTGGAACACGGATGGGGGTGGATGGGGGTCTCTGGTGACAGACATCACCACATGTGTTAAGAAAAGCATTGTGCACCCACCTCCACATCGCTTTACATTACGAGCACACAGCTCTCTTGGCAGCCACCACCATCCCAGCTCTGCCTGCTTGTCAGTRTGGATGTGGCTGTGGAGGGAAAGCACAAAGCCCTGACAATTCCCTGCCCAGAAGTCTCCAGGACAACAGGGCAGACAGAGCAGCCCTGCATGGCTGAGAAAAGGCCACTGGAAAAGGCCAAGGAGAGGCTGAGCTGTTCCTTTCAGGCCCTGCTCAGCTCTTCCCTGTTTCGGTGCCGCCCTGGCACCTGGACCAAAGCTGGGTCATTCCCCCAGAGCCAGGGAACAAGGGCAGGGAGTGCTGGGCACAGCCCTGGCACCAGCCCTCAGAGAAGACACTCACAAAGCAGCAGCACCAGCTCATTCCAGCACTGCAGGCAGGAGCAGGCTCGTGGACTGGGCTAGAAGGCAGCCTGGGAGCCGCAGTTTGGATCCTGAGCTCTGTGAGGATAAAGCCAAGTCCCAGCTGGGCTTCCCATGCCTGGCTAATTTGTGCTGGCCACTGCCTGACCTGATCAAAAAATTAATAAAGAGCCACCAGCTTGTTCTCATCAGGTGTTCTCACACCTTTGGGTGCCTGGACAGAGCAGCTGTGTGCTAGAAAGCTCTGTGTGTGGCCTGGGGACAGAACTGTGCCCTCAGGTGTGCAGAGACTTACATTCCCAGGAGCAGATGGTCCCTGTGAAGGAGTTATGGGGGTCTCACCTCCTGTCTCTCCATCCTGAGCAGCTGTGGAAGGCAGCACAGGCTCATTCTGAGCTCCTGTGTTAAGGCCAGGCTCCCATTGAGTCCACAGCGTGCAGTGGTGGCTGCCGTGCTGAGCCCTCCCCTCCCACGCTGCCAGGCTCRGTCCCACATCGRGAAGAGCTCTCYGATGCTGACATCCACCGGAGAGCCRCGGGATTGCCGGCCTGCAAMCTGCTGMTGCTGCTGAGTTMCTGGGAGCAGGGCTGGCCCCAGTGCAGGGCACATCTCTTCATGGAGAACCCTAAAAATTCAGCAGAAACACGAGGTGCTGCCCTGTCCGACCCCGCTGTACACAAGACACTCACAACCCAGGGATGTCATCCAGCAGAAAGGCTGCTTCTCTTCACTCCCTTGCCCATGTGCTCACCTGTGTCCCCTTTCCAGAGAAAACCCCCACTGCCCCATGACACAAAACATTTTTCAGAAAAAACAGCTTCAAAAGGGAGCACATTTTTTTTTACCTGCAATCTCTTAGCAGCACATCTTTTTTTTATTATATGCAAATTCCCTCCCATGATCTCAGCCTGAACCTTCAAAGCAGCAGCAAAAACTGCCACCCTCTATGCTCAGAGCTGCAGAGGCAGCCCCAGGGCACAGGGATCTGTCTGTGCTGTCTCCAAAGAGCACATGGTGCTAGAGGGCACTGAGACAATGAAACACTAAAATCTGGGAACAGCCAACATAGATTATGCTACATTTTTTACTATAACGCAGCAAAAATTAGCACCACCTTCCGTAGCTGAGACCCAGTACAGGTAAAAAAAGGTAAGTAAAATAGTACAAAAAAGCCAGGTTGTAAATTAGTTGTTTCCAAGGCAACACAGATCCTRCAACAGCTGCTCTGTTCTACCCCATCAAAGGCATCAGCACCATGGAAGCAGAATGCWGATTTTCAGATTAAAGGTGACAAAATAATCACTTTTCCAGCAGAGCTAACAGGTGCCAGCAGCCCAGCTCAGGGGGAGCACACAGCAGTGCTCTGAGATGCAAGATTGTGTTTCTCAATCCTGAGTCACTCCAGCAGCTGTTTCAAGCAGAGCTGTATTTCACCAGGATCTGAGCACACATGAGCTGGCTGATGAAGTTCCTGCCCCTGTTGCATCACTCTGGACTGACAGGGGATTGGACTGGAATGCTCCAGAGGACTCCTACMAACTGAATTAGTTTGATTGCACGTTCAAAACCATAAGAAACCAAGCCCTAATAAACTGCAACATAATCACCTCAGTGCCTGATTCACCACTACCTGAGAGCTGCGAGCTGGCAAACACCTACAAACACCTACATCTGTCATTTRTTACTTCTGAAATTTCTAACTAATCTTAAAACACTGCAGCAGCACTAATAAGTCYCTCAATGTCTGCCAAGACAACTTTCTAGGTGCTCTACTTCTCTCCACCATGCTCCACAACTATTAATTTTTCCTTCACGCCCACACTGCCCTTCACCAAAGAGTTGTAAAACCCCCATACTGGAGCTCGAGTGGGATCAAAATACAAAACTTTCAGCCCTGACATGAGGGGCACAGAAACAAAACTCTGGAAGATGTCAAAGAACAGATAAAAGCAGCATTTGACTCCAGCAGAGCTGGTGATCTGACCTCCTYAAAGGGTTATTCTGGCTTTAGAATTTTGGGCCCTATCTCCTCAAGTGGTATCAATTACCCCCTCTCCTCAGTTGATACACCTGGGCATCCCTAAAACCTCCAGCTTTACCTGCACTTAGCTAGGTCAATCACACATGGACAAAGAATTTCTGTCTGCCTTCTCAGCAGGGAACAAAGCCAGGCACTGGACACTGCTGGGGCACCAAATACACCTACACCATCTCTAAAGACATCAGCAGGATCAAAGGCAAAATACACAAGGCAAAGACACGTAACAGAGAAAACTCAACCTGAATTTATTTTAAACACAAACAGTTGAAATCAGGGAATGAAGGGGAACAGTCTATTGCCACAAGCAGAATGACCCAAATCCCATGTGCGAGGTGTGTCCCACAGGCCACAGTCCCTTGTGTCAGGTGTGTCACACAGGCCACAGTCCCTTGTGTCAGCTGTGTCCCTTGCTGCCAGGCTCTGGGGGTTTTTCCCCACCATCCCCTTCTGCCAGCTGACCTTGGGGCCCAGGCTCTGCCGAGCTTTCCAGCAGCAGTTCCAGGGCTTCCTCACCAGCCACACGTCTCACCTTCTCCCCCTTGGCTGCCAGGATCTCCTCRATATTCCTGGACAGTGATTTAGAACCAACAGTGACACCACAGCAAAGGCCCAACACAGTCATGCACAAGATCACTCTGCCCTCAAGACTGACACTGAGCAGTGAATGACAGGAGCATCACCATAAAAACCACCCAAATTCACCACAGAAAACCACCCAAACCTTCTGGGACTGTTTTCATCCACTAGGATCAATAATTTAGCAATTACAGCTAAAGAGAAGCTTTTAAAGGTAACAGGGGAAGTTAGAAATCAGTGTAATTCCACAGCAAGTCAACCTACATGCTTGAAACACTTATCCAAGAAAACCCAGCAGTGATTTGATAAAGCCTGAGATCACCTGCTGGCACCACTAAGAATACCTGTGTATCCCACAGCTTCTGCTGCAGCACCACACTAATTTATTTGGATCCTAAACAGTGACAGTCAATTTACAGTGACTGAAAACTAAGTTTACATTTGAACTGGACGCAACTTTTGTTTTCTCTTTGAGCCACATTTTAAAAGAATCAGAGAAATAAGGTAYCAATCAGCTCAGGAAAATGCACCCAGGAGCAGAGTGTGAGGAAGATWCCCTGGCACACTCACCTCTTTCCCTGCAGGTCGGAGAACCAGCCCAGGTTATCGGCGATGACATGGTGGTTCCCGCAGCCGGGACATGTCACGATCACCACCCCTCGGTGGTAGGCAATCTTAGAGATGGATTTGGCTGAGCGGGTCTGACACACCTGAAAAATAAAATGGATGTTATGAGCAGGGTAACTGCAGCTCCTGGAATTTTGAGGACAAAAAGACTTTATTTCTGCGATTGAAAACTTCTTCCCTCCCTAACTATCCCAAGGCGGGTCCATCGTGTTACGATGCTGGGAATTTAGCCCGATACACAAAGGCTGAGAGGGGTTTTGCTGTTTTCAGTGGCTCCCTAAAGAGGGGTACCCACAGAGGTTGTGGGATCTCCACCCTCAGAAATACTCACAAGAACCCGAACATCCTCCTCCAACACAGAGGTTGGACTAGAAACCTCCAGAGGACTCTTCCACTCCGAATTAGTTCCAGCAAGTTTAAAACTGAGAAAACCGCTACACCTGGACCCCCGCTGCCCCAGTCAGGGGTTTCTCTGCAGCCAGCGCCGGTGCCCTCAGAGTCCCCCGACCCCACGCTCACCTTGCAGGTGTACACCAGGCGATAATGTGTGGCCGGCGGTGGCCCCGGGGCGGTGCAGAGCGGGCGGATAGCACTCCAGAGAGGCCCCGGAGCGGTGCACAGCGGGCGGGCAGCGCTCCAGAGCGGCCCTGGAACGCTGCGGGGCGGGCGGATAGCACTCCAGAGCGGCCCCGGAGCGGTGCAGAGCGGGCGGGCCGGGCTCCACAGCGGCCCTGGAACGGTGCAGGGCGGGCGGGCCGGGCTCCAGAGCGGGCGGGCAGCACCCCAGAGAGGCCCCGGAGCGGTGCAGACCGAACCCCTCAGGCCGAACGGGGGGCRCTGGGGCCGCCATGGCAGCGGCTCCCTCAGCAGCGCCCTCAGCATCGCACAGCGCATGCGCACGGGGCGGGCCCTGAGGCGGTCGCCGCCATGTTGGGCACTGGCAGCGGCCATGTTGGTGTCGGGCACCGCCCGGGCCCCGCCTTTCATTAACCGTTCGTTACTCAGCGCGGCCCTGCCTCACACGCAGATATTTAAACCTGTTTATTGACTGAGAGGACCTCAGAGCTAAATAGTGTCACTATAGAACTTTTCATAAGTGCTTGTTGGTTTTAAAATCTAAACAGTCCACTGAGAGTGAAATTGAGAGGCACAGCCACCGTCTACAGGCTGGTGTTTCCCTCAGAGATTGGTGAGGGTGGTTCCTTTGGTGTTGTCCCTGTCTCAGGAGCCCTCGGTGTCGATGTTGTCCCTGTCTCAGGAGCCCTCGGTGTCGGTGTTGTCCCTGTCTCAGGAGCCCTCGGTGTCGGTGTTGTCACTGCCCGAGGTGTTCTCCCAATCTGCCTCATGGTGTCGGTCCTTGGGTGCTCTTCTCATTGCTCTTTTTCTGAAAACAAGACCAGATGTGTCATTTTTAGAAAGTGTTTTCTGCAAACAAGCAGCATTTCATACTGTTAGTATGAATCACTAATCAGTCCCTGTTGTGGCTCATTTTGTGCCCTCCATGAATCAAGCTTGGGGACAGGAAAGTGGAAATACAAATCACAGATATTTCCAGGTTAGCCCTKCTTACTGCAGCCCAGACCTTCGGTAACGCTCAAAGCAGTCCTTCATCCTCCTCCTCTCCTTTTCTGCCAGTTCCTCGTTGGCCAAGCCACAATCCTTGAAATGGAAGAAAAAAAAAAAACCCAAATATTAATTTATTCCTCATYAGATCAGAGTTGACACTAAATTGCTTCCTGTATCTGCAGAGTCAAGTACAGCGGGTTCTTTACTGTGTGTGCAGGATGGTAATACTTCCTTTTCACARAGTTTTACTACTTTTATTCCCTCACATCTGTAAATTTGGGATTCTCTTTTCTGCACCAACAGTAATTCTGCAGACAATTAAATTGGAAAACATCCCCATGCAGAGATGAAGAGCAGGACGTAATTAGAAGTTTTTATGTACAGTTGGAGAAATGTCCACTGTAAATGTTTCTGCTGCTCAGAGTTCACCCTTTTTGGAAGGTGGGTTCTGCACTAAGTGCTTCCAGGAGAAGCAGGAAAAAAAAAACCAGGAGCTGCTGATACGTTTCTCCAAGCTGGTAAATTYATCATTAATGAGAACATTAAAGATCACAATCCCCAGTCAAAGTAAAACAGAGCCCACAAAGATTCTTACACTTGGTGATTTTGGGTGCAGATTGGTCACTTGAGGGCTGAGCTCCTGGTTTGGTCTTTGCAGGCAATCTTCTGAAAGATGGAAAAAAAAAAATCACAACTTTAGTCAGAGTTGCCATTGCAAAGTAACTTCTCCCTCCAGCAGTTCTTCCAACAGAACAGCCGTGGTGTAACTGCACTGAGTCCACAGCAGAACKGAAACCAAGCCCAAAGCACTCAGAACTGGGTCCTGTGATCAATCACAAGTCACTTCTCATTTCAGTTGAGCCCTGAATTTTGCCCAGGATGATGCAATTCCTCACTACAGTCAGAAAGAGACAGAGTTTTCCAATTTCTACTTAAGCAGGGGCAAAACAAACCTTTGCTAAGCAGCATCTCTGCTCAGTGCATTAAAAATTATATTCATGTCAGAGGCCACCATGAGAACCGTGTTAAATTTTATTTTAACCATAATTTGTCCCCACTCCCTAAATTGTGCATATCATGGCACTTCACAGCAAACCATATTTTGGTGAAACTTCTCCTGTAGTGACCAGGTGTCATGATACATATTTTTGAAGCAAGCAAGGTAGAATGGTAGGAGCAGTGTCATTCAGTTTTTGTGAAAAAGCTCCCATCTCGATGAATAAAAAAATCATTTAGATTTTCCAGGAGAGCAAAACAGAATGGACCATCCTCTCCAGAACTMTACACAGTGTTTTCCTCTTACTTTTAGCTGTCTGTGTGTCTTCATCCTGGATGTGAAGAGTAAGCTGTGGGACAGAAACAGAGCAAGAACATCAGAACTGCCCCTAAGGCTGTAGGGACAAATAAAGGAACATAAAAAAATAAAGGAACATAAAACCCAGGACATGCTCGAACCAATCTCTCCCAGTGGCTGCCAGAAAAGAGCAGACTGAGCCAGGAGTTACAGATTTACTCATGGATTTATCCTCCATGAATAGATCCAAATTCCTTTGGCCTCATTTATACTTTTGGCCTCCAGACAATGTGACAATCACTCCCACACTGAAGTTATGAACTAAGAGAAACTCTTCATTATAGATGGCCCCAGGGTAAGATTTATTTTTGCCTGTTCTCACACAAGAGAGACAATCAAAAGCAACTCAAAATAATTTAATCCCCTTGATTTGCTTAGACTCAACAAATCTTGCTGACTAATGCCATAACCATGTCCTACACTTAGAACATCAGGACACAGTGAGATTCTGTCACTATTTCGCTGCCTCTGTACTTTTTGATGTCACTGAAATGAGCCTGAGACACAAGAAATTGCTGATATTTGGGGAACTGAGCAGAGATGAAGAACATGAAACCATCCCAGAGGAAACTGAGAGGTAAACCAGGCACTCTACTCACTTCCTGGGAATCTCTGGAGGAGGTGTCATCCAGGTCAGAGGTCTGAAACAAAACCAATATAGATTAATCATTCCTCATGAGCAAGGAAATGACAGCAAGGAAACATACAGGAGACTGAGAGCTCCAGAAAACACAGAAATATGGACTTCTTGGCCACTATAGTCTTCTCTGACCACTTGAAGGAAGAACACAAGATGCCATATTAATGAAAAGCCCCTGATTATCTAATTTAGTTCTAGAAAATTTAGTTCCCCATTTCATCCAAAYAGCTCATACCCAGTGTCTAAATAGAGTCACTCTTTGGTGTTGAGGAACTCATCACCTTTGGAAATGCTCCAAACACAAACACAGGTGGCCTTAGCTTGCATCTGTCCAGTTTTTCCATGSCTGGGWCCAGGGTGAGGTCATAGAAACCATYCCYTYTTYCATTTTCTACTCAGTATTTGCATGGCAATGGATTTAATGAACTCTGATGGTCACTCAGGCAGGCGCTCACTGCCTGCTGAGCTGGAMCTGCTCAGGTGCAAAGTCCTGGCAACAGCCACACACTGAGCCCATCCTCAGCTCCCCAATCCCAGCACACAATGACCATCATACCGGTGTGGGCAGCTCCAGTTGCAGCCTTTTCAGCTTGGCCTCGGTGGCCAGGAGCTGGCTCTCCTTCTGGAAGAGCTGCAGTTGCATCTCGTCACAYCTCTCCCCCAGCTCCCGGATCTGCTTGCGATAAGCGTCCCTCTCCACCAGGTTCTTGGAATAYTGCATGTGGAACTGCTCCCGGGTCAGCAGAGCCTGTGCAAAGGGACAACACGTGGTGCTCACACAGCAGCACAGGGAGGGTCACTTTGCTGCCCACAAGCAGCAAAGCAGTGATAAAAAAGGAGGAATGTTTTATCACCTGATCTCTTTCCGAAGCCACTTCCTCCATCTGCTGCAGAACAGCTTCAATCCGTTTTTTGTACATCTGGGAGTCCTTCCTCAGAGATGTGCACTGTAGCTCCAGCATCTCTTTTTCCTCTTCAAACTGCTGAGACAAGGTCAAAAGCACCTGCTTGTGGGCAGAGCCTGAGCCAGACTGTCCCTACTACTGCTCTGTGACACAGATTGCTCCAGCCAGGGCTCTGTGAGGGTGTCTGAGCTGTCACCTGGCACACACAGAGAGCAGCAGGGATTGCTGCTGAGCAGCTGCTCTGCTCCACAGGCAGGTGCTTCACCTGCCTGTCTTATGCATGGATCTCAGCAGGAACCTGCACCTACTTTGTCTTGGAGCACCTTGGCTCGGCGCAGCTCCTTGCGCAGGCTGTAAATGGTGTTCACCAGCTCCCGCCGTTCCTCCAGGATCTGGCTGCAGTCATTCTCCAGAGTCTCCTTGGAGAGGCTCTTCTCCAAATTCTGCTCCCTGGCAACCTGCAGGACAAAGGAAGAAGTGAGACATGGCTATCATCCAGCTCCATATCAGTCCTGTCCCCACACTGCTCTATTTGACTTGGTACAAGGCCACAGCTGAGCTCCAATCTTTCCTGTAGCTGCCTTGCTACAAATAATCCCTCCAGTCCATACTCAACCACTCCACCAACCTGGAGAGTGTTTTCCAGCTCCTGGTTCTTGGCCAAGAGCAGCTCCTTCTCCTGCTGGATCTCCCACACCACCTCGTGGCTGGGGCGCTGCTCTATGGCATGTTTCAGCTTCATCGTGTGCTTCCTCTCCAGCTTGCAGTCATCCTCAGCCTTCATGAGGCTGTGCTTCAGCTGATCGATCTACGAGAAGGTTCAGAGCTCAGCAGCAGCAAGGAGAAAGCTCTGGCCTGCAAAAGCAGTCGTCACCCTGTTTCCCAGACAAACACAAGGCAAGTTTCTCCCCAGCTCTGTTTTCCTCAGGAAGTATTGTGCTCGGGGGACCAGAGTCCTGCCTTTGTGCTAAAAGATGTATGTGCTAAAAGATACATGTGCTAAAAGATACATGTGCTGCCTTTGTGAGAGCAGCCTTGAGGGTAAGACTGGTCATTATTCACAGCACAACTTGTAAACCATGGGCCTACAGGGCTAGGGAGAGCGAAGACATGTGCTAGAGAGGATGCTCAGTGCTTCATGCTGCACTGGTCCAGCCCACCCAGGGCAAAGACAAGCCAGGTGCTCAGCCCAGCCTTCCAGAAGTCAGGTAAGAAGGGGRAAGCTGGAGAAACCATGACTGACCTGTAGCAGCAGGTCCCTGTTCTTCATGAGGGCTGCACTCTTCTCCTCGCTCTGCTTGGCGTAGCTCAGGGCCAGGCTGTAGTTCTCGTCCTTGCACTTGCGCAGCTCCTTGCTCAGGCTGTCCCTCTCCTCCTTCATCCTCTGGGCGCGCTCCTGGTGCTTGCGGAGCAGGCTGTCCCTGACCCACATCTCCCTGATGGTGTCCTCCTTGGAGTGCAGCCACACCGTCAGCTCCTGCGCCTTGCGCCGCTCCTCCTGCACCGCGCTCTGCAGCTTCATGATCTCGTTCATCAGCACGTGGCTCAGGCCAGACTCCCCAGCCGTGTCTGTTTGGAGGGCAGGGGTCACTCACTGCTGCCCTGGCTGCTACACACAGAGCTCAGCTTCCCCTCCACATCACTACAGCCAGCCCTAAAGATGTGTGATCAAGTTATTCCCACTGTTCCTCKCTGCTCTGTGTTTTCCTGCACACAGTGTCACTGACACAACAGGCAGAAGGAAGAATTCATCCTCCTGCTTCTTCCTGCCCCTCCCCAGTGTAGCAGAGTTGTCCTTCCCTTCCAAAGCACACAGGGAGTGCTCCTGACTCTGCACAGCAGCACCAAAGGGAGAGCTGCTGTTGAGAACACAAACATTACCTATAATCATAGAGAAAACCCTGCTGGGTTCTTTGCCAGTTATTTTCCTGTACAGCTGTGGATAATAAAGCTCGAGACTCTCCATAAACGCCTCAAAGCCCTTGTGTCCCGTTCGCTGAAGAATGTCCAGGAGAACACCTGAAATCACAGCAACAGGATATTCTATTCAGTTACTTCTCTTGACCTATTTGTAACACAACAAAAAATGACTTCACTTTCTCCACATACAAAAACTCCTGGGATCCAATCACAGAATCAATAAGGTTGGAAAAGACCTCTAGGATCACTGAGTCCATCCTATGACCAAACACTACCTTGTCAACCACACCATGGCATCAAGTGCCACGTCCAGGCTTTCCTTAAACATCTCCAGGAATCCTTCCAATGTCTAACTCCCCAGACAATCCCAAACCAATGGCCCAGAAACTRCACAGAAATATTTTCAGAGCTCCCACCTGCCTTCCGCTTGCGCATGACCAGGCTGGGGTCATTGAGAACCTGCTCCTCATCGTCAGGGCTGAGCACTTTGCACTGGCGCAGGTACGGGGTGATCCGGGAAGGGTCAATCACAGAGATCAGCTTCACACGGAAGTTCTCCAGGTTATTCCAACAGATCTCATCATTATCCTCTTCCAACATGTCAGCAGTGAGGGGAATCAGTGAGTAGWGTGGTCCTGTCTGGAAAGAAACCACCAGGAAACAAACAAGCAGACCCTGAGCCTCCTGGAGCAGTGTGGCAGGGGTGGGGAAACCAAGGATGGTCACAGACTGAGAATGCAGAAATGTCCTCATTAGCTGATGYCTCTGCTTTATGAGCAATTCACTCTTCCTTCTCCACCTCCCAGCATTTGAGATGCCTGAGTTCTGTCTGACCACACAGACACCAAATCTTTCACCCACAAGACACACTTCACCTCAGACCTGCAAAATAAACTTTTTTCCCTTTTCATATCAGCCATTCTGTATCACATGGACCAACCTGTGCAGTCACAAAAGCCTCCTGGACTCTGCTCCTGTGTCCTGGCTCTGAGAAAACTTGTCTTGGGTGCAGCCTCCCTCTGTATTCTGACYAGAGAAAAGATGATTCCAGGAACAAAACTGGTTTCAGAAAAGGGGAAATTACTCAGCTATACCCTGAGATGGGAAAGGGAAGGAAAAGAGAGAGACAGATAAATAAAAAAAGGGGAAGCCAGAATGGGTGATGGGGAGGAGACAGATGGTAATGGCATCGTGAGTCAGCAGCAACACCTAGGCAGCGATTTTAGATTAATTCTGGTTTTGTTTTCTAATTTGACTCACTGAAGTACCTGCTGGGGTCCAGAAAGTTTCCTGGTGGTCAGAAAGACAAAAAAGAATGCAAGTCACAGGCCTAGATGTKTGCAGCTGATTTCAGGGGAAAAAATTAGAAAAAAAGAGGCTCTTCAAAGGCTTTCCAGCTATTATCTTTATCCAGGAAAACAGGTGGCAGCAAGAACTCGCTCTTGGTTTAGAGTTCAGCTTGAAAAGGATGATTTCTATATTGATGTCTCTAATTTTGGATGTCCTCAAGCTTCCAGCATAATTACAACTCAGTATTTTGAGGGAAAGGGAGTCGAGTCTTGCAAAGCAGGGGACATAACCATGGCTCCCAAATGACAGGCTGTGGCCCTGGCAAAAATGAAAGGAGCAGCCCAGCAAGAGCATTGTGATGATGCTGAGCATCACCAGGAGATCTGAGCCTGCCTCCCCACCTTCCACAGCCCTGGAGCTGCAGCTGAACCCAGAACTCGCTCAGGGTGTGTTTTAAAAAGCCTGGAGAACACACAGGCTCCGATGCCATGGCAGCATGACACATGTTCCCATTAGCTTCCCACTCCACTCTTTGTTCTGCTTTCTAAGTTTATGGAGAATTTTTCTATTTATCATTAGGAGTAGGGCAGAGATGTTCAGAGATTCTTTCAGCCTGTGGTTCTTGTCATTAAATTAGCTTTACACTAAAAAAAGATGCAGTACCTGTGTTAGCTGTGCCTRTGCTGAAGGTAATTAGAGTGTCTGTTAATTGACCAATTTAGCCTAAGGAGGTTTTGTTCTAGTGACAAATCAATTTAATCCTGAAAAAGGACAAAGACTGCTGCTGCTCATACAGTTTTTCCTCAAATAACAAGAGCATCTTCTGAGCAGCACTTGCAAAGGCCAACAGTCATTTAGAGCACAGCTCACCTTTCCCACCAGTGCCTCACTGTAACAGCCTCTGCACAGCACCACAACTGGGCAGCAGCTCCTGCCACAGCTGAATTTCCTGGGAAAATGAAATCTACTCTGACTTATGGAAAAGAGAGTACACTGCAAGAGGAAAGCCATTCCACAATCATTCCTATTGCTCCACAATGTCCTGACACCAATTCATAGTGACACTGGCACCCAGTGACCCCCTGCCCCCAGCTCTGCAGAGCCCTCCAGGAAAAGCTGGAACTCACAACTCCCCACTGCACTCAGGGGAAGTTTAGTCAGTGCAGTGGAACSAAGCTTTCACAGCACTTTCCCTCTAGACTTTATCAGCTTTGCCTCAGCTAACCTTGCACCTCTCTGCGAGACAGAAATTGCTGGGTTATAAATGAAGAAACAAGTTTTTTTAAAAGTGATTTGTGATGTCTGTACAGGGCAGGCTGTGGAAGAATCAAGAAAGAATCCTAATTCAATCCTGCASTTTTAGGCACATGAATATTCATTCCCCACATTCTCCCTGGTTTTCATGCAGCCTGCAAACTTCGTTTTTCTCATTAGCAATCACATTCATACACACATTATTAAAAGCACTATTTACCATGAAAAAAAACCCACACAGAATACATCAGTAATTTTTAAGTGAGAAAAATAAAACATCTGTATTTCAACAAATACTTAAGACTCATTTTGGTACAAAATTATTCTGCTGCTTATTCCACAGTATTCAGTCAGTTACCAAGCAAAGCCACTGTCACAGCACTAAATCCTACCCAATTAAAAACATATTCTGAACATGGATAAACATTCACATAAATAAGGGCTAGCACAGGAAGGAAATAAATAACCACCATTGCTTGTTTCCCCACATTTCCAGCAATATTCCCCCTAGCACCTAGGGAAGATGTGAGCTTGAAAGAGAACTCAGAAATTTCCCTCCAGCCAGTTTCCTTCATTTAGCACCTTGTTTATAGATGCAGATTTTGTTGAGGGATGGGAAAATCAATCCAGCGTTTTCCTCTTCCCMAGGTCCATCCAGTCAGCACATTGGAAGTGATAAAAGTGAACAGTGCAAAGATTATCTCCTCCTGCCACKCAGGAAGGCAGAACTCATTCCTGTGACCTCTGTAACAAAACACAAACAGCTCCTATCAGTCACAACATTTTTACAAGGAAGTTGCCCTTTTGGTGTTTCTAAAATGAATTTTCAAGGGAAAGAAAAAAACAAACCCACCACTCTCATCTGACAACCATGTGAATCAAATACTGTTCATGTTTATTCCATCCAGGGCACCAAAAACCTCAATAGATATTAAGATACCACCCATTTGTACCCTACAGAGACTGGCCTGTTGGAACTGTAGAGAAATGAAGTCAAATAGGGAAATAAACACCAAACCTGACAAAGATGTTCAAARATCAAGTATTAAAGAAAAGCTCCACTGTCAAGCCTGTAGAGTGCTACCAACTAGGTGCATASTAAGTAGGCAAGGCATGAACTAAAAGGATGCCAAATGTTTGAATTTCATGAGTTTTATATAAAATTTCATTATAGAGACATYAACTTTCCCTCTCCCCAAAATATTATCAGCCTTAGGCTGTGATTGATGGTGACTGTAGAACTCTGTGTCCTCAGGGAACAAGAGCAGAGATCATTTCAGTCCTTTCCCGRGGTCATGATTCATTGTCTGAGCTGAACCACAGACAAATGTGGTTCAGCTTCTCAGCAAGAAGTACAAACCRCTGAGCAGCTACTAACACATTTCCTGCTCATATCCTCCTCCTCCTCTTCCTGAAGCGGGCACTTCTCCTGATTTCAGGAGCTCTGGCATCAGCCACATCAGTGCAGGAGTCCAAGGCAGACTGAGCAGTGCTCTCTTCAGCCCTCATGCCCTGCAACAGAAGCAGAGAGATGATCAGCACCATGAGAATTGCCAGTACTCCCTTCAGCCATCTTTTAATTTTAGGGGCTCAGTCAGATTTCCAAAACAATCTTACATTTACCTTTGAAATGAGGCATGAGACAACATTCTTTTACCAATGTCACAGAAAGCACAAAACATCAGAGTTTTCAGAGTGAGAACAAAGGCTTGATTTCAAAAATGCAAGAGTCGGTGCAGCAGATTAGAAACARAAAGGGGAAGGGAGCTTTGATATCCATTCCTGGGAACTGTCATGGAAGGTTTAGGGTGCTACATAAACCATGGGCTTTCACCCTCCCAGCTGAGCTGCAGAGCTTTTCCTTTTATCAGCTATAAAACTACAGTCATTTAAAAGGACCAAACTTCTGCAATACTTAAGAACAGTGGGGGTTTCCCCCTGGATTTCACTGCAGTATTTATCTGGGCCCCTGGCACCTCTGTTTTACCTGATTTAGTAAATCAGCATCTTTGTTTCCAGGCTCATCCCCAACTCTCCAATCCTCCCGTACTCGTGTTAATTCATTCCCACAACTCTCTTCCTCAGACACTTCTTTCTCACTCTGCCACTCCTCGTCATCACTCTCCTCATGTTGCTTCCTGCTGGCTGACAGAGTTGTTGTCACTTTGGGAGGAGGCAGAGTTGCCAGGACAGCTGGGAGRGTGAAGGCTGCCAGGAATCTGGCTTTCAGCAGGAGGTAAGCAGGGTTATCACCCAGTTTCTGCTGCACCAGTTCTCCAATAGCATGGAAAACATCCCCAGTGCCCCCATCCCCGCTGGTCTCAGAGGGCAGGAGAGAGGCTGCTCGCTCTTCCAGAGCTGCTTTCTGCACAAGGAGCTTCGAGAGGGTTTTTATGTTGCAGAGAAAAGGTGGCAAATAAGGCAGCCTGGTTTGCAGGGATGGCACCTGGACCCCTCGTTTGCCACTCAGCCACTCCTTCACCAGCCCCTCGTCTTCCAGGGAGATCAGGCTGAAGTCAAGGAGATTCTTCTCTGCACTGGAAGTGCTTGGCTGGGGGGGGACATCAGCACTCGGTGGTTTGGAGGCAATGGGTCKGTTCTTCAGTGCCTGGGCACCAGAGCAATCCGAGCTCCCTGGGGCATTGCTGTGAGGAGCTGCAGCTCCTGGCTGGGGCACAACCCCTTTCCTGATGCTGTCRGGATTGGAGGATGATCCGTTTGTTGTGATGGAGTCGCTGCTCTTTCCTGAGCTGGTGAGGCTGGGCACAGGCTGGCAATCAGAGCCCTGGGGGCTGGCAGGGAGCTGTGTTTGGGGCAGCACCACRGCACACAGGGCTGGGCTGGCAGCTGGAGCTGCAGAGGAGTCCGAAGCCGTGGAGGAGCCCTCTGAACATGCAGGGGGTGCAGCAGAAATGGTGGATGTGGTGCATCCAGGACTCGCTGAGCTCACAGGTAAAGGAGYTGTGGACTGGTCATCCTTTCCCAAAGGAACTCCTGCCACCTGGGAACTTGGCCCTTTTGTCTCTGCACTGCTGGGGTGAGGTGGATTTGCTCCAGCTGGCACTGSAGTCCCTCCCAAAGTGGAGACATTGCCACTGGAGGTCACAGCTGTCTGACACTGACTGCTCCCAGCAGCAGCTGGAATTGCCTGGGGAACACCCACCACAGCCTGCACAGCACTGGGGAGCAGAGCTTGTGGGGTTACAACCCACGTGAAGGGCAGGATGCTGTTGGGAATGACAGGAGAGCCAGCCTGTGGAGTGACAAGAGCAGGCAGCAGGCTGACTGGCCTCTGCTGTGGCCCATTACTCTTCAGCTCACAGGTGACTGGTGTGGAAAGGGACAATTTCTTGGTGCCAGAATCCAGGCCAAGAGGCACCACTGTGATCTGGTGTGGCACAAAAGCCTGGTTGGGCAACACTACTGAAGATGAGCTACTGGAAACGACCTGACCACTGCACCCTCCCTGCTCTGGGGCCTTCTCTGCTGCAGCTGCMTTCATGCCTGGAAAAACCCCTCCTTCAGGGCTGCTTTCCAAAGCCTGCTCTTTTACTTCCTTCTTGGACTGCAGATCTGTGCCCTGAGAGCAACCAGGGCTTTCCCTGGTTTCTGGCACTGCTGAGGAATGGTTTTCAGGCACGAGAGCAGGAGCAGAACCTGCAGCAGAAGTCCTTGGTGCCACTGGAGCMCCCTGTACTTGGCTGTCAGTGCCAGCAGCTGCTGCAGGCTTGCTCCCTGCTTGTGCAGGGGGAATGATTTGCTGTGGTGACTGCTGGATGATCAAAGGCCCTGAAACCAGCACCTGTGGGGCAACCAGCACTGTCCTYTGCACGGCCTTCTTGGCCTGGGCCTCCCTTAAACGCTTCTCTCGCAGTAATTCCGAGACTGTTTTAGGCTTTTGCCTTTGCCCCTGGGCTGGGGCACAGCTCTCTGAGGCAGCAGCTCCCCGTGCTCTCAAGGCAGCAGCTCTCCTGACAGCACTCCTTGGAATGCCCCGCTGGGAATTCCTCTGAGAACAAGCTTGGGATGAGCTGCCTATGAAAGAGAGGAAATAAAATGACAATGAATGAGCAGTATTTCCAAAAGCTGTTTCTCAGCTATTAAGCATGAAGGAATGTGGCAAAAATTCTGTTTGAGAGAATTCTAAAACATTACAGTCCTGATTTAATCACGCCATGTCCTGACAACTGAACAAGTGGAAAGTGCCCCCAGAAATCAGAGATGAGCCAGGAATACACCTTAACACCACACTGAACTGCTCCAGTGCCACTGGTCCCCCAGCCCTCCTGTGTTTTTTCCWGTCCTTACCAAAGGGAGCAAATTTAAAGATCCAAGAGCTAGCAAAAATGAGCATGACAATGCAGGTTTGTCCCAAAAGCTCTCCTTCAGTTAAACTTATTAATGGAACAGTGATGAATTATGTGAAAGTTCTTGCACATCACAAAAATAAATGTTCTGGTAGGTACCTGAAGAAGTCTCTGTATTTTGGGAAGCCTGTAAAAAAAATTGTATTAAATTATACTTCTGATAAATCTAAAGATGATTAAAATAGCACAGACATGAATCAAACCCACATCTGCCACCATTCTCAACAAATGGCCATACAGCCAACATTTTATTCTGCCTCTGAACCAAAACAAACTGCTGTCATACATATGAACTGTGTGGCAACACAATCAAAGAGTTCATTTTAGTCGAGACTTCAGTGGGAAAAGCTTAAAAACACAATACCTGCTGAGGACTCTTTGCATTAGCCTTAAGCAGCTCTAACTGCCTCATCTTCCTCTCTTTAATGATCTTCATACAGCCCTTGGTATCAATCTGGAAGAGCTRCAAGGTGAGAGCTTCATTAACATTTGATGGAAGACAAAAATGTTTGGGTGGGATCAGTTACCAAACAAGATGGATGGGATATCTGCACATATCTGCAAGATTCTGGGGACATTTTTACACTTACAAAAAAAGCCCTGGCAGGATTAGATTTTGGATGCAGGGTTTATTWAAGAAACATCATATACAAGACATGAGGGCAGATTAATCCAGTAATTAGATTATTCAAGAAACAAWGATAAACCATTTATTTAAGCCTCAAATACAGAAAAATAAAGACTCCCACTGTTTGAAAGTAGGTAATGCTATTAAGACAGCCAAATTTACCTGAATGAGCAGTGTGAACAGGGGAGTGCTCGTCAGACTGACTGACTTAACCTTCTCTCGAATAGCACCAGCTAGAAAGAAACCCAACAGCACAATCAGCTGGGAATTCACTCAGATGACAAAAAGTAGGGACAAAAGTAGGATGGGTCCCCAGTACCTTTTGTGTGGTGAAAAGCCATCCTCCCAGCCTGCAGGGTGATGGGCAGCAGCACATTGCCCACCCAAGGGGTCACTGCCATCAGCAGCTTTCTGTCCAGGCTSAGCCTCCTCCACCGCTCCCTCTCCTGGCAATGAGCTCTCCCCGGCAGCTCCTGTTGGACATCCTGGCCAACAGCTCCACCGACTCCAGGGGGKTTGGCTAAAAGGCTGGCAGGAGGTTTTAGCATCTTTAATTGCCGTGCATGAAAAAATACACAATTAAGAGTTCCCATTAGGAAGGTTCTGCCATTAGTCCCAGGATAAACTATTAATGGGGCARTTAGGGCAAAAAACTGTGAGCTTTTCCTTTTGGGACTACAGTGCAAGACCTATGATTATATAAAAAGACTTCCTACTAAAAACAGTCTGGTAATTCTCATGTCACAAGAGCAGACAAGACACAAGAGGCACTCACAAGTCTCCTCTGGAAGCTCGTGTTATTCCTCAGTATTGTTCTCACATCCTCCAGGCTAACCCGCAACACTTGTTTTCCACACTGGGAAGCCTAAAGATGGAAGCACACAAGAAAAGACAAAAGGGAATGTAACCCACAGAAAATTACTAGGACTGGATATGCACAGAAAGTACAAGAATTCTCAATATTCCTGCTGTTGAAAAGTATCTTATTAAATTAAATCAGCCCTTTACTTTTAGACTTTGTGCATTATCACAACACCAAATGCCTATTTCATAAAAGCTTTTGTGTGAGGAATCTACCAAAACCCAAAAATCAGAATTTACTGGGTAATGATCTTCACATTTTTTTGACTTAACATTACAAGGGAAAGAAGAGCAAGATGTTACCTGCTCATCACCTCCTCCCCTTACTGCAGCAGCTGCACTTSCCTTCTAACTGCTGCTCCAATCTCCCATCCCAGCTCACCTTAGCCATCACTTCTGCTGGATCCTTCACCACCGTGTCTGTGGAATGGGGCTGTGCAATGCCCCTCAGCAGGGTGTTCAGCTCAGATGATTGATCAGCAGCTCCATTTCCATCACAGGCTGCACTTGGAATATCACTGCAGCTGGTTCCTGCACCAGCCCTCGAAGCAGAGAGGGTTTGGATTTGGTATCTCCCTTTGGCTGCCTCCTGCCTGTCTGTCCCTGTTGGAACCCACAAGTCAATGCTGGGGACTGCACACTCCTCCTGGCTTGTGGTGCTTGCCACCTCCTCCTCCTCTGAGCTGTCTGCCAAGTCCAGCTCCACRTCCTCGCTGCTGCTCTCTGAAGGGCTGGAGCTCTCCTCATCGTAGCGCCGTTTGGCTGCCCCAGATGTTTTCTTCTTGGTCAAAACAAGCAGAGAGAAGTTTTAGTCAGTGCTCATCCCCGGCCTGCAGTTCTCTCAAATCAGTACGTTTTCGTTACCAAAGGAAACAAGGTTTTGGAAGCAAGACCATCTTCAACATCATCTTAAGCAACCAGAATTTCTCRAGTGCCTGGGAGCAAAACTGGAAGCTCATAAGGTACAGACAAGAAAACCTACACATATCCCATCCTTACAGGCACTTCAAGGCAGTAAAGAATTCTGGATAATATACAAATATATACCAAATTAACTCAAGCCCTTCAGAACAAAGGCTGCTTTACACATGAAAAAATTAAACCATGAACACCCACAATAAAAATCTTGATCATGTGAAATCARTATCAAATTTTTTATTGATTTCACAGGATTCTACTTTTAGGTTAGAGAAACTTAACTGAAGAGATGGGACTGTGACACAGCAGGATTTCCACAATACCTTAGAGCCAATCATGAGTTTCCACTTGCTCAGGCATTGGGAACCAGTCCGATGGGGCAGCTCGGAAGCAATTTTACTCCAGTGACCTGAAAAGAATGCAGAGGATGCAAAATGTTTTTATTTGTGCCACAAACTGGGCAATATGCCTTTCAGTGCAGAACATTATACACATATTATACATTTCCAGGGATAAGAGAGAGTTTCTGCATGAATGGATCTCAAACCCTTAATACCCACAACACGCAATACAAAAAAAACTGCAATAATCAGTACAAAGCAGAGCCTGCAGGGCTTACAATGAAAGAGGAGAAAACCTCAGTGACAGCTCTAAACTTCTATAAATTGAGCCACAGAAACACCTACCCAGGCCATGCTTTTCAACCAGATCAATCAGCTGCTCCTCTTCCTCCAAGCTCCACTTGCCTTTCTTTACATCCCAATGCAACGCTTTTAAGTACCTTTGAAATGAAAACATTACAGTCAGGAACATTCAATCCTGCTTGTACAAATCAGATGATTACTGCACTCCCAAGGCTGAACAAAACCAGCATTCCTAATCAGAGCTTTCCCTTTTTTAAGGGGCTGGTATCTCCCTGAACTCACCGGTCCCGGCACTGGGCATCGCTCCTGCCCGGCACCTCCGTACGGATTTTGTACCAGTCCTTCTCTCCGTATTTCTTAACTGCAGCTCTCAGCATCTGTGTGCATCACACAAAGRAAGGCTGAAATCCTCACCAGGATCAATCCTAACAGGCCTGAGACACGACAGTTGTATTTGTTTCCTGTGCAAATCTCYGCACAAAACTGTTTAGGAGTTTTTACACCTCATGATCTGTAAAATGGGCACTTTGGTCTCTTTTCACTCCTCTGTGCCACTGCTAAAGCTCAGAGATACAGCCATGCCAYACCTCAGCAATTTAACATTCCCACCCTGCAATTCCAGGCCCAGGGAATGGAGCTTACAGCATCTTCCTCTGGTGTCCAGGGTCCTTTCTTCAAGCTGGGATCCACACTCTTGGTCCAGCGGTAAATCAGCTGAGCAGAATCTCTTCCTTCCATGTAATAAGCAACTAGAAATTAAAAGGTTTATTTAACTCTGTTGTAATTATTGTTTCTTCCTTTACTTGGATGACAATTTCAAGCAATGATTGCCATAAACAGCATTTTAATCTCTCAAACAATGGTGCTCAGCCAGTTTCAGCCAGATTTCCAAGATGGATAAAGGTTCCAAGAGATATTAAGTTCTTGTTGATATAATGAAACTTCCAGATAGGTACTGCAAAGGCAGAGATCACATTCCACCAAGGAAAAGAGAATGGGAGAGTGAAGCATTCCAGGTGAATGGCAGGTTTGTCACCTGTGGGTGACTTACTTTTTTTGTACGGGATGTGGCTTCCCACTCTCATCTCTTGAACGAGCTCTAAAAGCATCTGATCTTCACCCTTGGTCCATTCTTTCCTTTTTAAATCTTTATTATAGATTTGGTACTTCTGCAAGCACTGGAAWGGTGTCCTGTTTGTCTTAATACAAGGAAAACAGAGATAATCAGGTAACTGGTTATTTTATTTACGACTACAAAGAGCAAGAAGGAAAAGCTAAAGTACTAAATCTTTTTGRTACTGTTCTTGGACACTTCTCAGAGAGCATTAATTAACAACGAATTAACATTAACATTTTTCCTAAAATGACAAAAGGCACAATGAAGCCAGAATGAACCAACTTGGCACCTCAGACCTTACCCCCAGCTCCTGGGCAATGGTCTGCCAGTCCAGATAGTTGTGTTTAGCAGCTATCTTCTTCAGCTTCTCTATTTCCTCCTCAGTCCACTCTGTTTTGTTGATGCTTGGATGCTCCCAATTTTGCCAAAACTTCCTTAGCTCTTCTGAGTTACGTTGTCCATCAAACTAAAAGAAACAACAAAAATATGCTTAACCTCATAGCTGGGATTAAGACACCTGGACAAACAGGAAAACCAGTATTTTGCATTTCAGGTATGTCTTATTGCCAAGTTTTCCAGAATTTAATTACCAAATCTAACAAGTTGAGATCACTTAAGAGTCAATTTGGAGAAATGCCAAGATGGAAATACTGTATGCAAAGCAGGTCAGGTAATTCTCAAGAGAAAGGACACGTGTCAGAAGCAGTAGAACAGCTGATCCCCCAACTCACATGGATGTTTGAAATTTTGTCCCAGTCATGCTCATCAAATCTGTTTCCTATTAAGTCACTTTCTGGGAGTTGGCTAAAGCAAAAGAGAAAGGATCATGTTAAAAGGTTAATTAAACACTTTGACCTCTTGATCCTCCTTCATCTCATTCCTCCCACCCATTCCTGACTTCCACAAGAGCTGAACACTTGGATTAGCAGGAGAAACAATTAATRCCATATCCAAATACATTGCTCTAGATTTGTTCATGTGTAAAAGCTCAAAAGCATGAAAAATTTCAGAGCTCTGCTCCTTTATTGCTAAAGTAAGAATCATTTAAAGCAGCATCTCTGTACTGACTCATCCCCAGTACTATTACAKTGCATATCAAGGCCCAAAACACAATTCTGAGTAAAGAACTGTGCAGATGAGGGAGCTGCAGAGCCTCAACAAAACTTAATTTTTACAAGCCAGTACAAATAAATATTTCTACAAATCTCCCTTACATCTAGAAGTGGAAAGAGGGAACTTTCAGAAGCTAAACTGTGAGATATTTCATTTTTCACTGAGAACTTAAAAAGACTTCTTACTTAATTGCTTCTATTTCTTGCTCCAARTCTTTGATTTGCTTTTCCAAGGTCTGTTTCTCTGTTTCAGTGTTGACTTTCTCCAGTTTCTGATTCCAATAACTCATCCTGTTCAAAGACATTTTTAGCATTACTTAATAGGATAGATGAGAATGGGGTTAGTGGCATTAGAAGATGTACAGCAGAGGCAGTTTCCCCATCAGTATCATTCCTCCCTTCAAGTTTGTTTCCACACAAAACTGCTCTCCCATGTTTTCCCATATGGCACACTCATTGCCCTATTCAATGGGAAGAAATAGATGGCTATAAAATCCCACAAACAGTTCACACAGGAACTTGCTGCAGGAAGGTGGAATCTCCACATCTACCTTCACCATTCCCATACAATATTCTCAGCTGGAGAAAAGAGGATTTTTAGGCAATACTCACTTGAGCAGCTTTGGCTGGAGCAGGCGTTGCAGGCGGTCGCTCACCACGGATTTCTGCAGCAGCGTCTTCTCTCCAGTTTTCCCTAAACCAGACAGAGGAGCAGCCAGACATCAGTGCAAACCCCCTGSCAAGAGAGACCCACTGCTTCCAGCACCCCTGGGAAGTGTCCTCCAGCTCTGCAGCAAGAGTTCCCTGCCTAAATCATCAGTGTCATGTCAGACTTGGGCAAGGCACAGCCTCTGGCTCAATTTTAGCTCAGTGAGACCCCAATAAAGAAGTCACCCTGTGACCACCTGGAGCTGCAGGTGTCCCTTGCACCACCTCAGTTTAGGACTGCTCACAGGAATTGATGAAGCAGAACAAATGCAAATGAAAAAGGAACCATTAATCATTCACTGAAAAAAAATCTAGAGCACTCCACTCCTTTTTGTATGGGGACACACAGACTCACATTATGGATACATTTTTATATGAATATATAMACTTGTTACAGCTCTTCCACAACACTGAACAGCACATGGACTTACACTTTGCTGAATGCAGTTGTTCAAAGGATTTGATGCCCTGAGCTGCCTTTTCCTTGGCATCTTCATTGGAGGGAGGGCCCTGTTGAGGATTAGAAGGGTCAGATACACTGGAGAGTCAGTGTATTGTAACAGTAACAAAATCACTCTTTCTTCTTAGAACTCCAGTGTGAACTGTTAGGAACTCCTTTTGCTAATAATCCCTTAAACACACATAAAAAAGTACTAATACTTGCCTCAGAAAATATAAAAAAAAAAAAACCAGAAAAGCTCAGAAACTGAAAAAATTCAGTTTCACACAATCAGTTTTCAAGTGTTTTAAACATCAGCATGGAATTGGTCACAGAGATGAAAACAAATGAAGTTAAGTTAAAACCAAAAAGGTTCAAGCCCCTAGTGACTGGAATTCCACTCCTCAGAACTCACAGGACTGAACAAACATTTCCAAAAGAGGGTGAGTAAAAAGTGAGAGGAAAAAGGTTTCAGGCTGAGGAGTGACATTCAGTTAGACAACTGAAATTAGAACAGTTTAAACACATTACAATGTACATCTATCACTGAAGACACATCAGGCTGGAAGCTGGTTATCTTTACTTACAATTCCAGTTATTTTATCCTTAAAGTATGGCTTCATAAAGTGACCCAAAAATACATTTGCTGCTAGGTTTCTGCCATCTCCTGCCTTTGCTGTTTTTGAACCATCAAGCTCACACATGATTTCCTTCTGCAATACAAGAATGAAATGAAGAGCATCAGTGTCTCCTTCAAATTCCTGATTTCAGAGAGCATTTTTGAGCCATCATAAAATCTCAGGCAGAGTTCAAATCTGCAGCACCAGACTGTAAAATCAGTGCTTGTGTTAAAGGCAGGATTTGGAACTTCCAGAGCTAGCACAGTGAGGATGATTAAAAATATTAATAAAATATTAATTTGCCAAAACATGATGAAATATAACATGTAAAATATCCATTTTTGGTTGTAAGAAAGCACTTAAATTTCAGTCAAATAAACCACATGAGTCCTGGGCTTGAGAGGAGGCAAAGATGGCAAATGGCAACCCAGAAAAGCACAGAAATGAACATTTCACTCCTGCTTTGCTCACCTGCTGCTCTTTGTTTTGTGCAATGAGCAGCTCCACTTCCTCAATCTTTTCCTTGATAACTTCCTGGTACACATGGTTCATCTGCAGACAGGTTTCTGGATCCTGTGGCAAGTTTTCAACATCATCATCGTCATCATCACTGCTGTCTTCTTCTCTTTCCACCTCCTTGAGGTAAACAAGGCATTTAAGGAGAAAAAAAAAGAGAGAAATAGTTGTTTTAAAAGCAGGTCTGTAAAGATCAGTTTTGTAACTCAGCATTTCCTGTGTGACCACAGCCTGTGGTGTTTGCAGGGACAGAGGGGCCTCTGTCCCTGTCCCTTGTCACATGAAAGAATCTCTGACACTGAATAACAAAGTTCTGGGCAGGAATATCCAAACTCCAGGGCTGTTTTTGATCCTTCCCGAGCACAGAACCAAGGCCATTGCCTGGATTTACCCAGAACAGGATGAAGTTTCCTTTCCTCCTGCTCCCTTCAACAGACAGATAGAAATACATGCTTAAAGAGAAAACAGTTACCATTTCAGCATGAGAATCYTCATCATCGTCATCTTCATCATCATCATCTGCTGGACAAACAAACACAAAAATGCTGATTGCAGTGGGATACACAGAAAGCTTTAAATACAAATATTTTCAATTACAACACACAGGAAAAAGTGCCACACACCTCAGACATGACCATAAGCGGGTTTGGATACTGACAACACTGTCAAGTAAAAATAGTATTGTTTTTTGTTTTTGTTTTTTTTGTTCTGGAGAAGGGAAAAAAAAGAGCAGCTCTGGATTGCTATAGGAACAATAAAGCCACATGGTGGTGTCGCACATGAGAAGTGCCCAGGTGTGCAGCCAGGTAAACATTCCAAGCCAGGAAAAACATAAACTTTGGACCAGCAGCCCCTCAGGGACACTCAGGTTTGCACTAGTGTGGTAAACAGACGTCTGATATAAATTATTCAGAGTTAAACGATCAAAACACAGGTGGGTGAAGCCTCTCCGGACAGGGATGCTCCAACTGTTACCGCTTCCTCCCTGCTTTGGAAAATGAACTTTAGGAGGCGCAGGAGGGCTGGAGGATGGTGCAGACCACACCGCAGTTTGTGAGGCCCGCGTAGGCCCCGCGATTTCACCGCTGGCGGTATTTGTTTGGCTCTTGGGTGAAAAGCGAACGTGCAAAGTGCCGGCGGCTGCCTGGGGAGAACCCCGAGCCCTCCCGAACGCGTACCAGAGCTGAGGCTGGAGTTGGACAGGTCCAGCTGGATGTCGGCCCTGCCGGGTTGCAGGCTGCGCTCCAACTCCTCGATCTCCCGGCGGATCTTCTCCCGCTCGGCATCGAGGTCCAGGCCCTGAGGGGAGCGCAGAGCCCCGGCCGGGCCCGGCCCGCGGGACATGGCGGCACCGCCGCTCCCGGGCCGCGCTCACCCCGCCCCCCCGCTCCGCCAATCGCTGCTGCGCGCCCGGGTCAGCTGACCCGCCACGTGACAGTGGACAGCCAATCCGAGCGCGGCTCGGCCCACGTGCGCGGCCAGGGGGCGGTCCCGGCTCCCCGCACCCGCCCCGGGGCCCGCAGAGACCGCCCCGAGTGAGGGGGTAACGGAACCGGGACACCGGGATAACGGGACACCGGGATAACGGAACCGGGACACCGGGATAACGGAACACCGGGACACGGGGACATCGGGATAACGGGACACCGGGATAACGGCACCGGGACACCGGGATAACGGAACACCGGGACACGGGGACATCGGGATAACGGGACACCGGGATAACGGCACCGCGACACCGGGACATCGCGACACCGGGACACGGGGACACCAGGATAACGGGACACTGGGGCATCGCGACACCGGGACACAGCAACACCGCGACACGGCGACAGCAGGATAACAGGACACCGCGACACCTGGACCCCGGCACCGCGACACCAGGACACCGCAACACCAGGACAACGGCACAGCGGTTTTTAATGGCACCGCCACCGCCGATCGACCCACAGTCCTTTCCCCTTTCACAGCAAGAGCACAAACGGCAAGGGGAGCCCCAGCCAAAACCGGGGATGCTCACAGGGTCCCAGATGAAATCTGGGCGGATTGCWGGGTATGAGGGGAGAAGGGGCCATGGTCCCAGCACAGCAGGAATAGGAATGTGGTGTCCATCCGGATTTAGTGGTCCATTGGCTATGGCTGCACTGCAGGAAGGGATGGAGAAGCCAGGTCTGCAGTTTGGCACGTTGAAAAGAGGCCAAGTATCAAAAATTCACTTTTTAGTAATGTTTTCCAGATGAAAACAAAGTCCTTCATGTTGCGTGAGTCACTCACTGTCCATCCTCTGACACCTCAGAGATTCTGTCTATGGATTTCAGGAGATCAGCAACGAGCTGCAGGGATTCCGCTCCAGAGAGCAGCTGCCTGGAACAGGAGAGATGCAATGTTAGATGGGAAGGACAGGCAGCCAGGCAGTTTTGGAGTGGTTTGCTCACACTCTGTGATTTATCAAACAGCATTTTATCAGGACTGGAGACTTAGAGACTCCCACTTTCCTTTTTGCTACCTACACTTGGAGGAAAACACACAGCAGGTAAGAACATGGAGTAGCTCATCTGGCACACAACACAAACCCCTGAGTTTCAAACCTAAAAACTCACTGAGGATGTTTATTTGTGAGCCCAGAATGCTGCCCMATGCCTGGGATGGTGTCAGGAGCATTGTCCCAGCCCAGCTCACCTGATGGATGCTCGGGAGCTGGTTGTGACCTGGAGCAGGTGCTGCAGAGCCACCTCTGCGTTCTGCTTTGCTGCGGCCAATCCCGCCTGGCCCGCCCGCAGCGCTTCGTTCTCCAGCTTGGAATTCCTCAGCTCAGCCTGGGAGGAAYGGGCAAAACCCATGTAAAATAATCACAAAACTCCAGCAGATACTCTACAACCAATGAATACATTCATACAGCAGTTTATGGGTATGTAATGTAATAATTAACTAACACACGATAGTGAATAGAATAAAACAACGTGATAAACAGTCATTATATCCCATAACATGACTGCATGGAGGGAGTGTCCTCCCASAGTTATTARGAYWGAAAARGACATCTGGARATCATGAACAAGGCAGGGTCAYGTAGAGCAGGGATGTTTCCAGGTGGRTTTTGGATGTCTCCAGAGAGGGAGACTCCACRCATTCCCTGCACAGTCTGCTCMAGGGCTCTGCCACAYTCCATGGAAAGAAGTTCCTCCTTGTTTTAGTTYCTGGCCATTGCTCCTCATCYTGTCACTAGACACCAATGATAAATCTGGCACCAYGCAGGCCCTCCCAGCCTCTGACAGAACACCACAACTCCCAAGCCTTTACTGAACCTGAAAACCCACTCAGCAATTTCCTGATTTCTCAAAAATCTTGCAATATCCTTTGCACAGGCTAATTCCAAGATAGATCCCTGCAGCCCCAGCCCCCAGCCAGGCTCAGGAATGTTGCTCTGTACCTGGAGCAGTGCATTTTCCTGTCTCAGTTTGACAGCGCTGTTCTCAGCTTTGACAGCCCGTTTCTGCAACAGAAGAGAGATTATTGAAACCATAGGGTGCTAAGGCACATGGGAATGAGGGATATGGTTTGTTTAATTAATTTTCTGAATGTTTTGGGAGGTAGGAACAGCTCCCTCCTTCCCTCCTCACTGCTTCTTTTTGGGATCTGCAGTTGCTACCTCACCACCCTCATAGGGAAGAATATTTTCATGACATCTGGTTGAAACCTAAAGCCAACACTCACAGTCATCAGCTGGAGATTCTGCTCCACGTGCTGCACCATTGCTTCCAAATCCTGCGCTTCTTTCTCTTCTTTGATTTTGTTTTCCTCAAGCTTCTTCTCAAGCTTCCTCATCCTGAAAAAACAAGAGAGGGCACACAGTAAGGCCTTGTACCATTAGAATCTCATTGTTTCATGTTATAAGGAAAATTAATTCTTCCCACAGAACTCCAKATCGGGGCTGTGGCTCAGGGGATTTTTCTGTTCCACATCCACCAGCATTAATGGGAACTCTACAGCTGAGTGAGGAACATACAGACATGCTCACATGCCATCTGGCTACTTACTTTCCAAGACTTTTTCAATTTAAAAAATGGGTTTGCTATGTCTTTTTTTATTAAGTAGGATAGATTTCAACTACATTTTTCATCTTTAAGGATACTGGAGCTAGTGAGCACCTCTCTTAAGTCAGCTCCTTCYGTTATTACTTCCCCCCACATTGTGGCTCACGCACTTGTCTGCTTGAGTKTCAGACAGAATCTGAAGCTTATTGATCTTGCTTCTCAAAATAGTGTTTTCTTCTTTTAGCTAAAAGAAAAAGAAAAAAAATCTCATGAGGATTGAAGGTGCATTTTTCCAACAAGATCAACAACAGAACATTCAGCTAGAATACTGGAAATTCTTGCACTTTCTAATACATTCAAACTTAATTTTGTCTCCAGTTTACCCATCTGGAAACCACTAACCATCACTAACCCTGTGGGGTGAGGAATGTGGCACCGAACAACCAGAGCAAATGTGATTAATTAATGCTGCCAATTCTAAATAAACACGACCTCAAGGGGCAGGAGCASGCGGAAGTCACTGGGTCATGCGCAGGGCAGTAGGACAGAGAAAGTACTGGACCCGATTCATGGTGAAAAGTACGTTTCCAAACCTAATTCTCTTCCTCAGCAGTTTGGTGGCAGCAGGCTGGGCCATGGAGTTCTGTAACAAGCTGGCACCCAGCTCAGGGCTCGCCTGACACAGAAAGGTGCCGGCAGGGCGGGCAGYGCTCACCTGCTCGTAGCTCGGCTGCGGGAGGGGAACACGGTCCGGCCCCGGGGGGGATCCGAGGTGGGCCTGTTCCACGGCCAGCGGCTGGTAGCTCTCGCTCCATTCCTCCTCCTCGTCCTCCTCATCCCCCGACTCTGCGGGCACTGCGGGAAGCGGGGGCACCACGGGCCCGGGCCAAGCCGCCTGCGGAGGGGAGAGCGGGGCTGAGGTGGGTGCCGGGACGGGACGGGGCGGGGCCTTGCCGCGCTGTCTCCCAGAACCTTACCTGCGTGTCACCGCCCACCCCGTCACCGCCGCGGGACTTGGAGCGGACGAACTCGCGGAAGGAGAAGGGGTTGGGCTCGGCCGGGCCCCCCGCCACCGGCTCGGGCACCGGGAGCGGCGCCGCCGCCATGGCCGCCTGAGGGGAGGGCGGGGCTGGGCGGGGCGTGGCCTCCTCCTCGCAGCGGACCAATGAGCGCGCAGCCGCCTCGCTCTCGCCCAGACGCAGCCCCGCCCCCTGAGGGTTAGCCCCGCCCCCTGACCCCGCGCTCCCGGTGGCGGCAAGATGGCGGCGGCCATGGCGTGGCTGCGGCGCGGCGCCTGCGGCCCGGCCCGGCGGTGAGAGCGGCCCCGGCRCCGCACGGGGAGGGAACGGCGCTGGGGACCGCGGGGAGGACGGGGGGAAGCGCTCGGGATCTGCTGTGCAAGGGGATCAGCGCTCGGTACCGCTCTGGGCGGAGGCGCTGCCGGCGCGGTGTACCGTACCCCCTGACGGTGTCCCGGTGTCCCTCAGGTGCGGGCTGGCGGCCGGCCGGAGCTACAGCGGCGGCAGCGCCTACCCCAGCGTGTCGCTGACGTGCCCGCTGCCSGGCGTGCCCAAAGCCGTGTTCGCGGCGGCCGAGAGCCGGGAGCGCTTCGAGACGCGGGTGACGGTGCTGGAGAACGGGCTGCGCGTCGCCTCCCAGAACAAATTCGGGCAGTTCTGCACCGTGGGCAGTGAGTACCCCGGCAGCCGGCCGGGACAGGGCCGTGGCGGTGGCACCTCAGCTTCCCCCGAGCCCGGAGTCTGTAAGGAACAAGGRTGTAAAAGTCACGCTGGTTTATTCTCTTCTTATCACCAGTTCTGGTCAATTCGGGATCAAGACACGAAGCGAAATACCTCAGTGGTATCTCCCACTTCTTGGAAAAGCTGGCGTTCTCTGTGAGTACTGCCCTGCACTGTCCAGGGGTTCCCAAATCTGCATGGGGTAAACCAGGAAGAGCAGCCCTCAGGGCTCTCTGCACTTGAATTGTTTAAATAGTGGTCACAGAATTCATAGTCACAGAATCTTAATTTCTGGCTAATTTTCATGTATTGAAAGTCTGTTGTTCTTTCAGCTCCTGGGCTGGCGTATATAAATCAAGTCATTTGATTAAAAGAACATAGATGATGTTCTGGGCTTTGCTGAAGAGCTATAAACAGTTATTGCTTTACTAATTAATAACACTGTGTCTTCTTCCTTAGTCCACAGCTCAGTTTGGCAGCAAAGATGAAATTCTGCTCACCTTAGAGAAGCATGGAGGCATTTGTGACTGYCAGGCATCGAGGTGGGTTGCTCCTTCTCCTGGGTCTGGTAACACTGGCAGCACTTGAAATCCCTTTTCCTGGTGTGGGGCAGRAAAAGCCACTTTTTATTCCCAAGCAGCAGAAACCTGTTTGTGGTAGCTGCTGAGAAGCTACATAAGTGAGCCTGAAAGAGTTATAAAGTTCAAATATATTCRTTTTCAAAAGCGTTAATGAGTGAAACAGCTTTATTTATGATTCCTTGATACTGAAATGACTGTGAGTGATCCCAACAGTGGCTTCTCCGTGCAGAAACTCTTTGCTTGTGTTGCAGGGACACCATCATGTATGCAGTGTCTGCTGATGCCAGAGGCCTGGACACYGTGGTCAATTTGCTGGCTGATGTAACGCTCCAGCCCAGGTTATCAGGTCTGGATATTCACACAATTCCCTGCCTCAAAAAAATATCTCAAACACATGGCTTGCTCTTAAGAGTTCAGAATTCTTGACCAAGTGACCTTGCAGCAGCTGGGTGTTTTGTGTAGGGGCTGCTATCCCTTGCTTTATCCTGTTTCAGATGAAGAAATTGAGATGACCCGGATGGCCATCAGGTTTGAGCTGGAGGATCTGAATATGAGACCTGACCCCGAGCCTCTCCTCACAGAAATGATCCATGCGGTAACACACTAATTCCACCTTGCAGGCAGCCTCCTGCTGCATTCTTTTCTTTGTGTTTTTGCCAGCTTCAGGGTTCATTTAGACTGCTCTAACTCAGACTTTRTTGTTACTCAGTTTGATTTCGGTGATGGGAGAATTTGCTGTCCCTCCATTCTGAAATCCAGCATTCTCCACATATGGAAGATTCTAATCCAAACTGAAAAAAGAACTTGTCTGTAACTTCCCTTTGTTAATGTGGGTTATCCTGACATTAACAAAATAATGCTCAGTCTCTCCTCTCTTACACCTGGGCTTAATTCCAAAGCAGAAAGAGGGTTAGATGAGGGATTTAGGGGAGGTAGAAGTGATATTTGTTACTTTAATGTCTCTTTTCCCTTTTAGGCAGCCTTCAGAGACAACACAGTTGGACTGAACAGGTTCTGCCCAGTGGAAAACACGGACAAAATCGACAGGGCCGTGCTGCACTCGTACCTGAGCAGTTACTACACCCCAGACAGGATGGTGCTGGCCGGGGTGGGCATTGAACACGAGCAGCTGGTGGAATGTGCCAGGAAATACCTGCTGGGGGTGGAGCCCGTGTGGGGCTCGGGGCGGAGCAGGGCTGTGGACAGATCTGTGGCTCAGTACACCGGAGGMATCGTCAAGGTAAATGTGGAGGGGATAACTTGCTGGGAATTGCTGATTTCTCTACAGGCTTTTGCTTTTCTGAAGTTACATTTCATGGGTATGAGCCCAGACTGGCCATGACAGCTGTTAATTGGGGGATGTGATAATTAATTGGGAATGTATCAAGCTGGATATGACAGTGAAAATCTTTATAATCTGTCTTTATAATCTGTCTGCCCTTCCCACAGGTTGAAAAAGACATGTCAGATGTAAGCCTGGGCCCTACTCCCATCCCAGAGCTCACCCACATCATGATTGGGTTAGAAAGCTGCTCATTTTTAGTGAGTATCAACCTAAAATCCTTCATTTTCGTTTCCTTATACTTTGGGAATCCCAGGAATACTGGCTTAGTACACAAACATTGGCATTCTTGCTGCTGCACATAAAACCAAGTAGCTTTTCCCCTGACATTTTGCTGAAGGCACTGACCTTCACACTCCTCTTTGTGCTGTGTCTTTATTCTCCCCTTTACCCACCCCAGCCCCTTGAGAGCTCTGCCATTCCCTGACTGAATTTYTTGTTGCAATCCAGGAGGATGATTTCATTCCTTTTGCGGTGCTAAACATGATGATGGGAGGTGGTGGCTCTTTTTCAGCTGGAGGGCCTGGCAAGGGCATGTTCACCCGGCTGTACCTCAATGTGCTCAACAGGTTGGTTTGTCTTGATGTTTATGGGGTGGCAGAAGCAGTCCTTTTAGCAGGTTCACATGGAAAAAAAATGAAAGCAAACTCCCCCAGGTTTTACATCAGCTTATTCTGCTTGGGACTGGTTTGTCAGCTGGCATTTTGAGAGGGTGGAAGTAAAGGGCAGAAGTGACCAGGAATTCTGTGTTCCTCCACTAGCCCAATCCATGCTTTAATTAGGGAATATTAACAGGATTGGCTCTGTATTTTCCTGAGGATGCAAGTGGAGATTATGGAGTAGATGCCACATGCACAGATTGTCAGAGGCAGGGACTGACAATTATCATTGCACTGCTGAGAATCCTGAAAATGYGCTAGGAGGGTACTCACTGTCCATGTTTGTTTTAACTTTTACATTGCAAATACTGTTCTTTAAATTTTAAAATACTGATTGTACACTCACAGGCACCACTGGATGTACAATGCAACCTCTTACCACCACAGCTATGAGGACACAGGTCTCCTGTGTATCCACGCCAGTGCAGATCCCAAACAGGTACAGAGTCCACATCATTCAGTACCAGACAGCACTGTTAACACAGGAAGCATCATTCTCATCTTCTTTCCATGATCTGTTTTCCCCAGGTTCGGGAGATGGTGGAAATCATCACCAGGGAATTCATCCTTATGGCAGGAGCAGTGGGAGAGGTCAGCAGCACATTTGAACTTGCAGATGGTCTTTGAGCTGAAATAATGCCTGGAACTGTCCRAGGCCAGGCTGCACTGGGCTTGGAGCACCCTGGGAGARTGGAAGGTGTTCCATCCCCTGGCACTGGATGGGTTTTAAGGTCCCTTCTAACYCAGAGCAGTCTGAGATTCTGTGCATGCATTGCTCTGGCTTTGCCTGAATAGATTTTGTAGATAAAGTTGTTACATGTTTCTGTGAAAGAATACAGCAACATCAGCAGTGCATTCACAAAGAGAGAATTGTCTGCAGAACTCTGCCGTGTTACCTTGTACCAAACAGCAGCCACCAGAATTTTCTGACTGTTATTTGCATTTCCTGCTCATTCACAGGTAGAACTTGAGAGGGCAAAGACACAGCTCAAATCCATGCTCATGATGAACCTGGAGTCCCGGCCAGTGATCTTTGAAGATGTGGGGAGACAGGTTTTGGCAACTAACACAAGGAAGCTACCTCAYGAGCTCTGTGCCCTCATCAGTGAGTAGACAATGCTTTGCCTTGCCTTCACTGAACTGTAGGTACAGTTAGAATATTCTTGTAGCTCTGATGAATTGCCTCTGAAAGCCTGGGTGTATAAATACTACAGAAATATATTTCAAACTGAGCTTTATTGCTTTCAAGCTAACACAGGTCTAGAGTTGGTTTTCTGAGCCTCAGCCTAAAGCTGCTTTGTGATGTTCACAAGGGAGCTGTCACAGCTCTGCCTTTTCTCTATCTGCAGGTCAGGTGAAACCCACTGATATCAAGAGGGTGGTGACTAAGATGCTGCATAAGAAGCCAGCAGTGGCTGCCCTGGGTGACCTGACAGATCTGCCCTCGTATGAGCACATCCAGGCTGCCCTTTCCAGCAAGGACGGGCGGCTCCCACGGCTCTACCGCCTGTTCCGATAGAGCAGCACCTCCTGCCTGCCCTCAGACTCCCTTCTTTTTTAATGGTTTYTTTGATTCTCATGTTGCTGTACCACCCTCCCTGCCCCCAATGCTCCCAGGCATTCTGTGCAACCACGGAGCTGAGCAAAGCTGCTTTGGAGCACTGGACTGTGAAGAGCTCGTTTAAGGGGCCAATCCTGGCTCTGGAGGAGGAGTTTGACCCTCTTGAGTAAGTTACAGAAGTGGCTTTGGGGAGAACAGAATAAACCAAAACATYCATCACTACARYGAAAGCACATCTCTGAGCAGCCTCTTCATCACCTCAGCAGTGGCAGTGGGGCTGTCTCCCAGGAGACCCCAATRTGCCCTACCTGAGGAATGTGGTGGYACCTTAAAGAGCTTGGCTTACATGTCTGAATTCAAAGAATATTTGTAACTGTTACCAAGGTGAACAAAGACCTGGTCAGGCTGAATTAGGAAAATAATAGTTATTGTCCCTTGTGAAGTTAAGCAAAAGGTTTCCTGCAATCCCGTTTTTTTGCCAAATCACGGATGCAGTTTATCAGTGTAATTCACCATCTGACAAGAAGTCATCCACCTGGAAATTATTTCATCACCTTGCTAGAGCTCCARGGAAAGCAGACCCATGACAGAACCAATTTTCTGTAGAGTTCCTCTGCAGAGATACTGTACCTGATGGACATTTACTTGAGAACGAGAATGATTCTATTCTTCAGGTTTTTCACTTGGAAGTGAACTGTGCTAAAGAATAAAAGTTCTTTTCTTCCAGAGTTTCTATACAAACAGTTATTAAAGGAGTTGCTGCTSCTGCACCTTAAACTTGTGCCTCATTTCCTCAGTATCACCCAGATGGACCTAAGGCCTTGCAAAAAGAAGACACAATCATCAGTCTCACAGCAAAAATGAGGCKCGGCTGAGAGTCAGGATAACAAAATGACAATATTTAGAAACATGATCTTGACTGACACCATATCACAGAAAGCCAAGTGCTACACATGTGACATACTGAAGAAATGGAGACTCAAAAGAGGAATAAAACATTGGATTTATATAATCCCCTAATGCATGGGTTTAAAATACAGACAGCTGCATTGCAGCATTTCACTGCTAGGTGTGCATGRTGAGGAGCAATCCAACTGGGAGCAGAGCACTGTGAGGCTGCTGTTATCTGCTTTACCCCATCCTTTCCTCATGCAACTCAAAGAAAAAAAATGTTGCATTGCTTCCTGCAGAGCCCACAGCGTGGAAGTCCTGTTCAGTGTTGTGTATGTTTGTGAGGAAATAAAGAGACCTCTGAACAAGTGGAGCAAGTARTAAGAGTTCTGAAATTCATCTGCCAAGGGTTGCTTGAACTGGCAGGTGACACAGCTTCATTCAATGCAAATAATTCCAGAGAAATCTGTCCCAGTCCTGCAGCTGAAAAATGGCCCAGGTCACCCAAACATGCAGCATGCAAAGAACTCGGSTTCTGACAACAATAAAAGCTGGTTCTCAGTTAAGGTATTGCATTAATTTATTTTTATTCCTTTAAAAAGAAAGGAAATCCAAATACCTGATGGCTACAGACAGGTCAGTGCCATAAATGTACCGCAGAACAGGAGCCTGTCTTAGACAGGTTGCATAGTCAGCAGCACTTCCTCCAAGGTGTTTGCATGATGTTTTAGGTCCTAAGGTGATTAATGATCCCATCTGTGCCCATGAGGAGTTCTTAATTATTAGCTGTACTTAACATTTTACCAGTGCCATACTGGTCCTTGTAGTATATATAGCCTTAAGACAACACTACTTCAAAAATAGCAAGTTATTCACAGTTTACTGATTTGGAAAAATAAAACCAAAGGAATTGACTGTGATTGGAGGTAATGGAGCTGTGTGGAGCTGAGTGGCTGCAGTTGCTCTGCAAACCTCCCTGGTGCACTCACTTGACATTGCTTTGGTGAAGCATCACACAGTGCCTGCTCTCAGACCACGATTTCTGACTSCTGCTGCTGAAGGCAGAGTAGTGTTTTATCAGCCCTGGGGAGGACAAGTGAGTGCAGGAAGGGATCGTTTCAAGCAGTCTCAGTAGACAAATATATGGCCTGAGAGTTTGGTATTTACCCCCTTAGTAACAGAAGGCCTATAGAATGATTRTTGAAAGGCAATGTTTCTACACTTCAATGTACAGAGTACATTCACACACAACTTGCTGCAGAGGACCCAAAAAGCCCRACACAGGAGCACCATCCATACACAGAACTGCCCAAGTCCATGAACTGGTCCCTGTTACTCATTTTCCAGAATACCAACGCTTGGCTACAGAGAAGGAGCAAACCCAACCCCACACTGGATGTAAACTAACCTGAACCAAACCAAAGAGACAGAGAATTCACCTTTCTGCAGGCTCTTAGGTCCCCTGCCTTGGGTGATGCCAGTTCCAGCAGCTGTGCCCCTGCATGGAGTCCTAGAACCAAGGGTCTGCACCCAGTGGCTTCCTAAGATARTCTGGTTAAAAATAAATCAGTTACACCTTTTGGGATGGATGTCTTAAATAACTGACTCCTTTTCTTCAGCAGAAGCACTTGAGCTACATGGATTAGCTCATGCAAATGAATCCAGGATGAGGTTTAAGACATTCTTCACAAGCCACAGCAACTGCCAGGGGTGCTTAAGCAGACAATTCCCTGCAGAGTTTGCCATGGCCTGAAATCCTCTTTCAGGGCACCTATGCCACAAGCATTGCAGAGCTCTCAGCTCAAGAAATGCTACATATGCTGCTGGATTTTTGGTCCTTTTGTTCCAGGCGTTTCTGCAGTTCCCTTGTAATCCGCCTCCTTATTCCGATTAAATACAGCTCTCTGTCAAACTGCCCCGCAGCCAGTGGGATGCTGCAACAGAAACACAAGCCAGCAGGTCAGGGCATAAATACATTATTGTTTGCCCARCATTTCCCTACTATTTTATACAACCAAGGCCAGAAACTTCATTTTTACTTTCTGAAGGCATTCAGCTGCTGCTGTCATAGAAGAAGGAGTTGTTCTTCCACAGCAACAAGTTAAGGTTTTTCACAACTCTTAAAAATGCTGGTTGTAAAAGGGAATTGTACTTTAAATTTAAGYATGAAGTCGCCTTCATTCATATATACAGGACTTTCTTTATGACTCTAAACTAAAACCAAATTTTCTAAGGAGTTCTGCTAATATAACAGCCCACAGTGGGACATTAAGAACTTGGAGGATCTCAAAATATACCACTGAAATCAAGCTATGCTGAAATTCAGCCACCACTGTGGAGGGAAAACAGAKCTGATCCTAAAGAGGGAAAGAGGAAGAGAAGAGGAAAGCTGCCATGCTGATAGGGAAAACAATGAGCTGCCTCTCAGATAAAACACAGATTTATATTCAGTTCCAGTGGGCTCTGTTTATCCCCCTCAGAAGGATTAAAGGACCTGGCAGCAGGGATTTCAGCTGTCAGGGCAAGGTTTAAGCTCTTACTGCTCTGACCACCAGCATAAACTGGGTAAAACTCAGGCTGCAGGGAGCTCTGAGGGACAGACACAGGATCATATCCTGGGGAGCAATCATGGGGAGCAGCAAAAGGAGGCACTCACTTGTCTCTGCCAGGCCTCACTTTGACACGGAACAAGGCAAACACAGGCCGGTGGTCTGAGGTTTTGATGACAGGACAAGAGGAATATTTGACAGCCTGGATGTCGTCCTTGTAGCGGCTGCGGAACACAACTCGGTCCTGGAGGCAGGGAGAGAGGGGACAGTGATGGGGACTCCTGCACTGGTTCACAGGAGACAAATCCATCCATTTATCACACTCCAGTTAATGAAATTAATTGGGCAGGAATCCATTCATGAAGTATGCCTGAACCCAACAGTTCTGTGCCCAGCTCTGAGCACAGGGGAGAGCCCACTCAGACAGGATGTAAGACAGGAATAATCAGGTTAACAGCCTGTATCAAACTCTCCTTGTGCTCACAGATTCATCAATCCTTTCTTCCAGAAATCTCAGTTGCCCTTAAGCAACAAATCTCAGCACAACTGGATCTTCTTTGGATTCTGAAATCAGCCCTTACCGTGTAGGAAGGAGTCCTTTGCTTGGAAGTGGTGTCGTAGCTGTCCTTTCCTATGTCAAACTTGTAGGAAGGACGGAAGTGGATATCAGCCTCTTGGAATCCTTTGAAAATAGACCCTGTAAGGGAAGGGGAGAACAGCATGAATAAACTCCTTCCTGAGAACCAGGCAATGATTCTGCTAATGCTGGACATGCTAGAAAAACCTGGGCTTGGGCTGTAGAAATGGAGCCAGCTCCACTCCTAACACACAGAGGATAAAAAAGAGCCAGTAGCTGTTCAGTCAGTGGCCAGTTAAAAAAAGAACACCCGGCCCATGCATTTCCCCTACCACTCGTGCTGCTTTGCAAATACCATTCCAGGAAATGGGGACTGGGCTGTCATTACTCCTCATTGTATCTTTATTTCTAGAAATAAGGGAGGTAAAGAGCTGYCCCTCACCCCGACTCATCTCACTGGTCAGCTGGTCATACACCAGGAGCTTGGACACGTCTGTGTCTGGGTTCTGGTTCAGGATGGAATCCACAGTCTCCCGATCCTTATTCAGTCGGAAGTTGAAATCACCAAACCAGAAAACTTCATCAAACCGAGTGGTGACATCACCTGCAAATTCAAACCACAGGTGTTCAAGGGGTGCTGTTAAATGTCAAAGGAACAACAATAAATTCTTCCTTTTCACTACCAGGAGTTGTGACATTGAGTATGCTCTCTACCTGTGATCATCACTGAATGTGGGATTTAAAAACCCAGAAGAAAACAGAACAGGAATGTTAAAAACCATAGAAAAAGTTGAAATTATACCAAATAATCTGTAGGGCCTAAAATCAGAGTAAACACCTTTAATGCTGCCTTGCAGATAGAGTATATTCAACTTCCTAGAAAGAAGACCTTGCTATTTATCTGGACATAATGTTCTCAACAGAGTATTAGGAAACAAGAATGGAATTTGGCAAACAATGCTCTGACCTGTGTGCATGCCAAGTGACAGAAAGTTTCTTAAATTTTGAAATTAAGTAATTCTTATTTGTTCTAGAAGACACTTGGAAAGTGTTATTACACATCTGTAACATTCATAATAATTAAACCAAAATTACCATTTTGCTAAAAAAATACATCATGTAAAAATTCCCTTTTGAATTTTCTCTCTCCCCTTACATTTCAATTTTTTTTTCTCAAACTTCCCTCCAGAATTTCAAGAAGAAACAAAATAATGTGAATAATAACCATCCTTAGATCTGYAATCTCTTTTTATACGATCTCAAATTATCACTCTTGTCTCTTTCTCAGTGCAGACTAAGACACTGCACACACTCTGCTTTTCTGGGCTCCCACACACCCCTGGTTTCACACTTACTAGAACTGGATCGATATGGATTTGTGTCYGGAACATTCTTGGGAAGTGTAAGGGCTTGAATGGTTTTATTGTAGTCCAGTTTCCTCTCATTCACTTTACTGTCCCCAGCTGCAAGACAGAAACCCCATTACTGCCAGCAATGAATCATTTTCATTCAATGACCATTTTTGGTTATACCAGGAGCTTCCAAAGGGCATCAGACATTTTCCACATGTAAAATGTGACACTCTGGGAGTGTCTGCAGAGAATAACAATGACAGAAAGTGTGGAAAAAGGATACGAGGGTGCAGAGCTCATTTCTGTTCCCATAAACACAGTTCTTTTGTAAGTTTGTTACCAAACAATCCTCCTCCCTT